TAGAAATTCTGGTGGATCCCTTTGGCAGCATGAGCCTATCCTTGTAGTAAAGCAAACCCTTCTTCAATTTAAATCCAGGATGTGACTCAGGTTGAGCCAACAAGCTCTGAATAATCTGTTTACATCTGGTGTCCTGCAGTAATTCCTCCTCTAACCCCTCCCATTCATGGAAACTAATCACTGAAAGGGCCTGATAACTACCCTTCCTGGACAATGCATCGGCTGCTTTATTCTCCAACCCTGGTTTGTATTTAACCACAAAATTGTACCCAAGGAGTTTGGTGATCCATTTTTGTTGTTCCTCCCCCAAAAGTCTTTGCTCAGTCAAAAATCTCAAACTTTTCTGGTCAGTATGAACTTCAAAACACCTGCCCATCAAATAGGGCCTCCATTTCTGTATAGCTACTACCATAGCCATCAATTCCCTTTCATAAACAGATTTATTTTGATTTCTTATTGATAGTACTTTGCTCATATAAGCAACAGGCCTGCCATCTTGCATTAGAACAGCTCCAATACCTTGTCCTGAGGCATCTGTCTCTACCACAAATGTTTCGTTGAAATCTGGAGTAGCTAGTACCGGAATGGAAGTCATGGCCAACTTTAATTTCTCACCCCATTTAAACCCATCCTTCTTTAATAAGTCAGTCAAAGGTTTGGCTATTTTACCATACCCTTGTACAAATCTTCTATAATAGCCAGTCAGCCCAAGGAATCCTCTTAGACTCTTTATATCAGTAGGAAATGGCCAAGTCTGCATATCTTGTATTTTACTAGGATCTGCTGAAACTCCTCTGCCAGAGATTATGTGTCCCAGGTAAACCAATTGTTGTTGGCCAAAACTGCATTTCTTCCGATTGACTACCAAGTGGTTAACTTGTAGTAGCTGTAATATGATCTTAGGGGGCTCCTTGTGATCCCCAAAGTTCTTACTATATATCAAAATAACATCGAAAAATACCAATACGAATTTTCTCAAATACGGTTTAAGAACCTGATTCATTAAAGCCTGAAAAGTTGAAGGGGCATTTGTCAATCCAAACGGCATGACCACACTCGTAGTGCCCCTCATGCGTTCTTATGGCTGTTTTCGGAATATCCGATTCCTTCATGCGGATTTGATGATACCCAGACTTTAAATCCAACTTAGAAAAAATCCTGGCCCCACCCAGTTCATCTAACAGTTCTTCAATGACCGGTATAGGAAACTTATCTGGAATTGTCACCTTATTTAGTGCTCTGTAGTCACCACAGATTCTCCACCCTCCTTCTTTCTTCTTCACCATTATTACCGGGCTACTGTAAGGACTCGTACTGGGTCTTAGGATCCCAGACAATAACATTTCCTGAATCAACCTTTCCATTTCATTTTTCTGGTAATAAGGGTACCTGTAGGGCCTGGAATTAGGAATGGTTGCACCTTCTTTAATGTTGATAGCATGATCACACTCCCTATGAGGCGGTAATTCTGTCGGAGCTTTAAAAACTTGTGGGAGTTCTCTGAGGATCTCTTCCCAAACTTCACCAACTTCTGATGTTCCTTCAGTACCTTTTTTTTCTGAGCAGTAGATGTAATACCCCTCATCCTGGGTTTGTAAGGATTTCATAATAGATTTCCAGGAAGCTTTGATTTGGTTGAGTTTAGAACTTCCGTTTAATGCCATATCCTCCCCATTTTCTTTCCATTGTATAGACAAATCTCGGAAGTTTACCTTGACTTCCCCAAGGCTGCCTAACCATTCCATTCCTAACACCAAATCTGTTCCACCAAGTTCCAATAGATAAAAGTCTTGTGTGATGTTCACCCCTTGCACCCATATTTGTAATTGCTCACACTTGCCTCTATTGTTGATATGATCTCCATTCCCCAGCTCAACTTGAAACCCGGGTTTAGGATTATATGACAGGTCATCTCCTTCACCAATTTTTGTGAAATAAAATTATTGGTTGCCCCCGAATCGATCAATATAAGCACAGCTCTCTTCTGGTCCTTACCTTGAATCTGCCCTCTGACTTTGAATGTGTTTGGAGTATTAATGCCCTCCTTGCTGAGTGCAGATAATTGCAGGTCTTTTAATTCCCCATTCTCTTCAACACTATCGACATTCGGCAGGTTTTCAGACTCCTCTTCTGAATCTTCCACATTTTCCACTAATATAAGTTGATAATTTTTTAGTTTACAGACATGTTCCTTGTTCCACTTGTCTCCGCATTTCAAACAAAGTCCTCTTCTCGTTCTATCTTCCAGTTCAGTCTGAGTCAATCTAGGATTTCCTCTCCATTCCTTCTTCACCCCTGTGGTGTCTTCTGTTTTTCCCTCAGAAGGTTGCTTCTCTGGATATACCTTTTTATAAGGAACAAACCTGCCTGGAGAAACTTCACTCCCAATCTGAATTTTGGAAGCATGAGTTCCTTTGTCTTTCCATTCCCGTTGGTCTATCTCCCTGATCCTACTGCCCTTGAGTGCTGTGTTCCTCTGCTCTACCAGTATGGCCATGTCCATCAATTCCGGGAGTCCTCTTGATTTATGAAGTTTCAGTTCAGATCTTATCTCCTCTTTCAACCCATTCATAAAAACTCCCTTAAGCATTGACTGGTCAGTGTTTTTCAGAGGAGCCACGACCATTTCAAACTCAGCTCTAAACTCCATTACTGTACCTCCTTGTTTTATACTGAGCATCGGACCAAATGGGTTCTGCACAAGCTCAGGTTGAAATCGACGAAGAACAGCTTCCTTAAAATCACCCCAAGTGCGTTCTGTAGCATGTTCATCCCACCACTGGAACCAGTTGAGGGCCTGATCTTCCAAGGCGATCACCACAACTTCCAGTTTGTCTTCATCGCTCACTTGATTCAGTTTGAAGAATCGTTCAACCCTAATCAGCCACCCATAAGCTTCATCGCCATTAAACAGTGGCAAATCCACTTTTCTCCCTGTCCATACTCGGTCCTTCTTCGGTGTATTTTCATTGATGGCCGAATGCGACACAGTAGGAGAGAGATTACCTTCGGATCGCGAACTGCTGCTGCTAGAAGAATTCCGCGATCCTCTACTGGTTCGTGACCTTCTTCTACTGTTTCGTTCCTTGTTGGTCATCATCTGGTGCATCTCCGTCATCATCGCCTCCAGTTTTTCCATTCGACCATGACCATCCGTCATCATCGCCTCCAGTTTATCAATCCTGCTCTCCATTTGTAGTCGCGTAAATGGCATCCACCGCCCACTGATCGTGCTCTGATACCAAATGATACGACACAACACTCCAGAGAAATTTAAGGACATATATTAATCAACGTTCAGTCCAAAAAAAAAACAGATAACAATGGAAAATAGCAATAACTTGCAGTCAAAGAAAAAAAATAAGCTGGAGACCATTCGAGAGGGCCCCTCTCTCCAACAACTAGACAATTCCCAGATATCCCTCTCTCCACTCCCCGACTCCCTTTTATTCTCTTTTCCGTCTCTGTTAGGATTTACTTTAAATTGGGTTGTGTTCTCATCAAGATCTCCTTAAAACTGGATACATTTAAATGCCACACATTTTACTAGAATTTATCCAGATTGGAATTTTTCAGCTTTGACCTCCAATTATACATTCCACATATGTGGTTTCTTGACTAGTGAAAATGTGGCACATTTAATACTAATTGTTGCCAATTTTAGTTGTGGGATCACTTTTGAAAATATTGAACCTTAGACAAAAATTCCCTTTTAAACCTATAAATGGTCTGTCAGGTCTGATGATGGAATGTTTTTCTGCAAAATTCTATAATGTAAACAATCTCATATTGAGCTATCACTTTTGACCTCAGAGCTATTCAGGGATTACCTGAAGCAAATAAGGGAGGAGACAAGTGGGAGATTACTAAGTGTTGCGTACAGGCCAAACGGAACTCCGAACAAGTGGTGGTTAGCTTTTTCAAAGAGAAACTTTATGAACCTAACTGCTACATGATATCGGTTCCGCTAGAGGGGACTAGAAGATTATATTTACATCCACTTGTCCAGATAGCAAGTGATCCATTCTCCAAAATAGTGATTTGTAGAACAAGCAACGGGTGAGAATTGACTGGTTGTCAGTGGTTACAGAGGGCAAGAAGGGTTTTCTTTTTGTATTTACCTGGTACATTTTAAAATGTTATTCTAGCTTTAAACGGAGTATATCACATGTGCATAGCTGAATAGAAAAACTAAACATAGCTGAAATGTGAAAACTCCATCTTATGATTTGTTGTCTTCCCATTTATTATTTCATTTATAAAGATGGACGACAACATATGCAGAGAAATGTCATTATTGTTATGATTCTATAACAATAATGACATTCTTTGTAATGAGTTTTTTTTCCCTTAGAGCTATGGTGGGACTGTGAGCTCATCATTATATCAATAACTTGGACACAAGGCCACTAGCAGTCTGTGTGGTCATGAATGGACATGTGGTTAAAAGGTCAGCACTTTTGGGTGTTGGCTCTACCCACTGGCTCCCAGGGGCACTTAGACCTGGGTACAAAATAGTTCCTGATCTGGTCCTCTTTTATGGTCAGAATCGGAACTAAGACTGGTAATACAGTCCTGCCTCATATCTGACCTTAGAAAACTGGTATCAGAACTGGCCATTGTGGTCCTGTTTTCGAGGAAATGTAATCGAATTAAAAATAATTGGACATTTTAACTAGGTCATTGGGTTGTTATTTGTTGACATTGACAAAGTATACAGCTTTTTGATGTGTAAATACCCGCTTAACAAGAAGCCATGCCTCCTAAATGGGTGCTTAACAAACCCTTGCCCCATGTTTCTGATAGGAACTAAACTTTGAAAAGGAAAACAATTGAGACTCTTCGAGTGGCCTCACACTCCCAATTCCCAGTCCCGGGATTTTTTACCTGCGTTTATTCTCCCCCCTACCCCCTTTTATTCTATTTCTAATGGGCCATCCCACTTCAATAAGCTATAGGGCCTAAAACCCTATTATTGAGCATATAAAAATTACTTAATTGTTGAAATATAATTGAATTAGTCATCTTCCAACTATTCCTGATTAGGAATTATTATCACCATTATATAAATAATCAGGAAATCATAATTATGATTCTAGATGATAATTGTGTGGTTCACAATTATCCTCTAATCCTATGAAGCTTAACTTTTCTCCTATAAATAGGAGGCTTCTCCATTGTAATTAATACACTAAGATTACACCATTATCACACTTCTAATAACATCTTTCTCACTAAGTATTCAGACTATACTTTCTCTCCCTGATCTTCTGCTTACTTCCTTCCATTTTATAACACGTTATCAGCACGAATTTGCTCCAAATCCCTGAAATCACCATCTTCCTAGCAGGTATATACTTTCTTGAATTTATCAATTCATCTGAAAAGAAAAACAGAGGTTGAGAAGTATTACCATGCTTATATATATTCAAAACTATAAGAAGTATGCTCTATGGATGCCCAACAATTGGGATCCTCCATATCAGAAAATTATAGCTATATATTTTATAAAAGAAATATAAGCCGATGGAAGAAAGAGAGTTTTTCTTTTCTCTTGACATTTTCTTCCAAATTATGAAATATTATATACTAATAATAAATCTTACGAAACAAAAGGTAAGATGAAATAGAGTTGAAGTGATTGTAAATATAAATAAGTCAACCGTACCTGTGTTGAACATACTTCTTCATAAAACTTTCTGGAACTAGCAAATCAGAGTGAACATGGATATCACATGTGTACATTATCTATACTAGTAGTCTAGTAGATTAAAATAAAAGAAAGAATACTACGTAAATGTGCTTGGAAGCTAAGGAGTAGTAGCTTAGTAAATTTACATCTTAACTTCATATATACTTCGTATCATATAGCTTCATAAAGTCACAGGTTTCTTTTATTCGGCACACAACCAAACTGCCATCTTGTTTTCTTCTTAGCAATATACTCACACAGCTTTAAAAATAAAATAAGAAAAGAAAATGAGAAGAGAATGAAGCCTTGAAGGTGAGGCTGTGAGAAGATTCATAACTCGAGAAGCAAAAGGATGATACATACAAAAATAAATAAACAATGAACAGAGTGAATTAAAGGATTACAAATACTTGAATAGCTGTAATCTAATTAATATATTCAAAAGTCAATGTATGTGTCATTTCCGTGGCCTGCAAAAGAAACATATGCATGTGACATTTGTCTTATTAAATTAAATGATAAACTGATGACATTATACTACCGTACGTAGTAATATTGCGACGGAGTAGTATATACATGTAGTACACTAGTACGTATAACTACTATTATTCCAGTATTTTGATTCTCAAATACTTGGTAATTAATATTCTTCACTTTTCTTGCCGAACAATGAAACTATGATGCATATGAACTAGAAGTTCAATTATATGTACCGCTTTCTTATAGCATATGAATGATTGAATGTATCAGAAATATTTTAATTAAATATATTATATACTCCGTATATCTCTAGTTAGAGATAGGCAGAAATTGAGGCTCAATACATTTGCCGCAATACAATGGACAATTTATAAATATACTGATTTTTCAAACAAGATTGAAGTACGAACAATTCTGGTTTATGAAAACCCAACCCATAGTTCACATGCTACCTTAATTAAGATTGGATCTACGTGCTCTAATAAGTTATGGTGCACAATAAAGTTGATCCCATGTACTACACAATCATTTCATAATATATGTAATCGTATGACTAATGTAATACGTATTATTCTAGTATATATTGAGTATTTTGAATAAACACATTTGTTGGAATAATATTGAAACCACTTCGATGACTTACTCAAACTTAGCCGTACTGCCGTAGTAGTATAATTATGTTATACTCAGTACTAATTAAATTGAGTTATCAGTTGACATTATGGATGTTTAATTATTATTACTCCCTTATTTGGCTTTCATTCACGTAAAGTGAATCCAAAAACAACATGGTTATTTCCATCTCTTTAAATGTCTTTATGACTTTATCTGTATAAAAAACAATCTTTCAATTAAAAATAACGAGCATAAGTTTTGTACTTTATGGACCTTTGGTTATGAGTTGCATATCTCTAATTGTTAAGAGGGCCCCTTAACAATTGGTATAATAGTAACTTGAACCAAACGGTCATTATGTACGTTTATGTCAATTGCCGGAAATAACCCCTCATAAGTCATAACGACACTCATGATTGTTTTTAATCTCAAATGATGAGGTAGAAATTAATAAGAAGTATATATGTGAGTTAAATTACTTCTCTTATTAAAAGTCAGAATAGTGTACATCACTTTATTATCTCCTTGTTATGTAATACGTACGGGAGTATATTTTAAAAATAAAAATTTGTTATATGTAATTTTTATTTAAAGTGCTTATTTTTAACGTGAAAGTTATGCACAATTAAATGTACTATTAAGTGAAGTACAATTTATATTACAATATTGAACTAATACTTGTTCATTTTTATCTTCGCGAAGATATGGAGTTAACTAAAATTTCTCCAAGTGGCTCTGAACAATGTCTAATAGACAGTGCCACAACGCACACCATTTTGAGACATAGAGATTATTTTTCTCATATGACATTAGTTGATGCTAATGTCAATACAATCTCAGGTGTTGCTAAACTCATTGAAGGTTCTGGAATAGCCTGTGTGATTCTCCCAAAAGGGACAAAATTAATAATTAAAGACGCTTTATACTCCAGTAAATCACGGAGAAATCTTTTGAGCTTTAAAGATTTGCGTCTAAATGGTTTTCATATTGAAACCATGTCTGAAAATCAGAAGGAATATTTATGTCTAACGACAAATAGATCTGGCAATAAATACATTTCTGAAAAAATGCCAGCATATTCCTCGGGACTGTATTATACATATATCAGTCCAATTGAGATAAATGTGGTATCTAAAATTTATGACCACAATTCCTTTATCTTGTGGCATGACCGTTTAGGTCATCCAGGCAGCACTATGATGCACAAAATTATTGAAAATTCACGTGGACATTCATTAACTAATGTCAAGATTCCACAATCAAGTGATTTTCCGTGCACTGCCTGTTCTCTTGGCAAATTAATTATCAGGCCATCTTTATACAAAATTGGAGTTGAATCTCCTGCATTTTTAGAAAGAATTCAAGGAGATATTTGTGGGCCAATTACCCCTTCGTGTGGACCGTTTCGATATTTTATGGTGCTCATTGATGCATCAACACGTTGGTCACATGTCAGTCTTTTATCGACTAGAAATTTTGCATTTGCAAATCTCCTTGCTCAAATTATTCGTTTGAGATCACAATTTCCGGATTATTCGATAAAGAAAATCCGACTTGATAATGCAGGAGAATTTACATCCCAATCTTTTAATGACTATTGCATGTCAATTGGGATTGATGTGGAACATCCAGTTCCACATGTACATACACAAAATGGTCTTGCCGAATCCTTAATTAAGCGATTACAATTAATTGCTAGACCATTATTGATGAAATCCAGATTACCATCATCTGCATGGGGATATGCTATAATGCATGCTGCAAATTTAATTCGGCTTAGGCCAACGGCATATCATAAATTTTCCCCATTACAATTAATATCTGGTAAAGAACCAAATATATCACACCTAAAAATATTTGGTTGTTCTGTGTATGTACCAATTGCTCCACCTTATCGTACTAAAATGGGTCCTCAAAGAAGGCTGGGAATTTATGTTGGTTTTAAATCACCCTCAATTATTAATTATCTAGAACCTATGACCGGTGACTTATTCACCGCGCGGTTCGATGACTGTCATTTTGATGAGACAGTATTCCCAGCCTTAGGGGGAGATATTAAAGAAATGGACCCACGTACGAAAGATATTACTTGGAATGCAACAAATTTATCTTTTCTTGATTCTCGCACAAATGCTTGTGAACAAGAAATTCAAAAGATTGTTCATTTACAAAATGTTGCAAACCAATTGCCTGATGCATTCACAGACTCAAAGAAAGTGACAAAGTCACATGTTCCAGCTATGAATGCTCCTTCTCGAATAGAAATTCCTGCGGAGATTAGCGAAAGAACACTTGCTAATGAATCTATATATGGCACGTAAAAAAACGTGGTAGACCACTTGGTTCAAGAGATTTGAAACCAAGAAAATTTAAACAGCAAGTTGTAGTTTGTGATGCCAAAGAAGTTCAACCTTCTCAAGAAGAAAATGAACATTTTGAAAATATCGGCCTTGAAGATAACATCAACAATAATGATACCTCAAAAGAGGATCCAATCACCTTCGAAGAGGTAAATATTCCAGATAAAGATAGAAACGTCGATAATTTCGAAATTTCAATTAATTACGTTTCTAATGGAATACAATGGAATAGAAATGATATTAATGTTAATGATATATTTTCATATGCCATCGCCACAGATATAATGAATGAACACGATGACAATGAGCCTAAATCTATTGACGAATGTCGTCGTAGAAATGATTGGCCAAAATGGAATGAAGCAATTCAGGTAGAATTAAAATCGCTAGAAAAGCGTAATGTTTTTGGACCAATTGTCCATACGCCAAAAGGCGTAAAACCAGTCGGTTTTAAATGGGTTTTTGTGCGTAAACGCAACGAGAAAAATGAAATCGTTAGATACAAAGCCCGACTTGTTGCCCAAGGTTTTTCTCAAATGCCAGGAATCGATTATGATGAGACGTATTCTCCAGTAGTTGATGCTACAACTTTAAGATTTTTAATTGGCATGTCTGTTTTTGAAAGGCTGCAAATGTGCCTAATGGATGTGGTGACCGCATATTTATACGGTTCACTCGATACAGACATATATATGAGAATTCCTAGAGGTTTTAAAATACCTGATGCTTATAGCTCGAAATCTCGAGATTTATTTTCCATAAAATTGCAAAAGTCATTATATGGATTAAAACAATCTGGACGCATGTGGTATAACCGTCTCAGTGAATATTTGATTAAAGAAGGGTATAAAAATGATCCTATTAGTCCATGTGTTTTCATTCAACGATCCGAATCAGGATTCGCCATAATTGCAGTATATGTTGATGATTTGAATATAATCGGAACTCCTAATGAAATTGAAAATACTGCAAAATATCTCATGAAAGAATTTGAAATGAAAGACTTTGGGAGAACAAAATTTTGTCTCGGCATTCAAATTGAACATTTGAGAAATGGTATTTTCATCCACCAATCAAATTATACCGAGAAACTTTTGAAGCGATTTTACATGGATAAAGCACATCCGCTCAATTCTCCAATGGTGGTTCGATCTCTCAATGTGAATGATGATCCTTTCCGACCTTGTGAAGATGATGAAGAAATCCTTGGTCCCGAAATACCATATTTGAGTGCTATTGGAGCATTAATGTATTTGGCTAATAATACTCGACCAGATATTGCTTTTTCTGTAAATTTATTAGCCAGGTACAGTTCTTCCCCAACAAGAAGGCATTGGAATGGTGTCAAACATATATTCCGATATCTCAATGGTATAATCGATCTTGGATTGTATTTCAAGAATGGTGCAAATGCCACTTTAATTGGCTACGCGGATGCAAGATACTTGTCTGATCCACAAAAGGCAAAATCACAAACAGGATATTTATTCACCTATGGTGATACCGCTATATCATGGAGATCAATGAAGCAAACATTAACTGCAACATCATCCAATCATGCAGAATTAATTGCTCTTTATGAAGCAGGTCGTGAGTGTGTCTGGTTGAGATCAATGATCCAGCACATACAAAATGAATGCGGTATAAAATCTTTTACTTCTAATCCTACTGTGATTTATGAAGATAATACATCATGTATAGCTCAGATCAAAGGAAGTTACATCAAAGGGGACAAAACAAAGCATATAGCACCAAAACTTTTCTCCACACATGATCTTGAGAAAGACGGAACGGTTGATGTCAAACAAATCAAGTCATGCGACAACCCTGCTAATTTGTTCACAAAGTCATTGGCACCGAAGAAATTTGAAGAACTGGTCCATAAAATTGGAATGTATCGTCTTCGAGATATATGTTAAATTGAGGGGGAGTAATATAATGCACTGCACTCTTTTTCCCTTCGTCAGGTTTTTATCCCACTGGGTTTTTCTTGACAAAGGTTTTTAACGAGACAGTACATTATAATACTATGAATCTAATACCCCAGAATAATTAGAAGATGACCATTCAAGGGGGAGTGTTGAAATATAATTGAATTAGTCATCTTCCAACTATTCCTGATTAGGAATTATTATCACCATTATATAAATAATCAGGAAATCATAATTATGATTCTAGATGATAATTGTGTGGTTCACAATTATCCTCTAATCCTATGAAGCTTAACTTTTCTCCTATAAATAGGAGGCTTCTCCATTGTAATTAATACACTAAGATTACACCATTATCACACTTCTAATAACATCTTTCTCACTAAGTATTCAGACTATACTTTCTCTCCCTGATCTTCTGCTTATTTCCTTCCATTTTATAACATTAATAAAATACTCAGTACTATTTATATTTATACTCAAGTGCGTATCATCACTCCCCCCTTTGAAAACCACCTTGTCCTCAAGGTGGATGATAAGAGATTGATCGGGTGGTTGGTTTCATGGAGTTTTCAGCTTCCTCCAATTCCGTTAGTGGATTTTCTGTACCTTTCTCCTCTTCTGGATCTTCAATTAAGACAAATTGATAGTGTTTCATTCCACAAGCATGTTCTTTGCTCCACCTGTTTCCACATTTGAAGCATAGACCTTTCTTGCTTCTTTCTTCTAACTCTTCTTGTGTCAACCTTTGACCTCCCTCCCATGTTTGGTTCAGTTTTGGTGCTTCCTTTGTGTTGATATGGGCAGAAACCTTCTCAGTCAGGTTGATATTGTTTTGATCAGTTCTCCACCAGTTCCCTTTCTCTTTACATACTCCCTTATCTTCTTCCTTGCTTCCTCTTATTCTCAGAGCCGCATTTTTCTTTTCCAGGAGAAGTGCCTGATCCATGAACTATGTCACACATTGAGTTGAATGCAATTTTAGTTCGGCTTTGATTTCATCCTTTAGGCTATTCATGAAAATACCCTTAAGCATCTCATTGTCAGTGTTCTTTTGGGGGCTACTACCCGTTCGAATTTCTCCCTATACTCCATAACTGACCCAGTCTGCTTCACACTAAACATCGGTCCATATGGGTTTTGAACCATCTCTGGTTGGAACCGTCGAATAACTGCGTCCTGGAAATTTTCCCAAGTACGAGCCGTAGTCCGTTCTTCCCACCATTGGAACCAATTTAAAGCCTTGTCCTCCATAGCCACCACCACCATTTCGATTTTCTCATTGTCTTTAACTTGATTCAACCGGAAAAATCTTTCTACCTTAATTATCCACCCATGTGCATCCTCCCCATTAAAAACAGGGAAATCAACCTTCCTGCCCGTGAAAGCATAACATCGGTCTACAACACCAGTTTCCGGAGCACCAATTTCCGGAGTATGGGATGAAGCATGAGAACTGTTGGAATTCCCTGTGGTATGCGACGAGTTCACACTTTCTTCCCGGCGATGTTGCTTACACACCCGCGATCGACCTCGCCTCCCCTGGCGATTACTGTGTAACATCATATTCCTCAGTTCGTCCACCGCTGCGCGCAGACCCAGCAGTTCGTCCACGGTGGTTTTCACTTCCGCTAGGGTTCGTTCGATGCTTTCTACACGTTTCTTCATTATCGATCGAGTCACGACCATGCGCAGGAATAACGTGGATACGAAGTACTGAAAAAGGAAAACAATTGAGACTCTTCGAGTGGCCTCACACTCCCAATTCCCAGTCCCGATTTTCTGCCTACGTTTATTCTCCCCCCTACCCCCTTTTATTCTATTTCTAATGGGCCATCCCACTTCAATAAGCTATAGGGCCTAAAACCCTATTATTGAGCATATAAAAATTACTTAATAAAATACTCAGTACTATTTATATTTATACTCAAGTGCGTATCAGTTTCAATTAAGTGGTAAGGTGAGTTTTTTAATGACCACTGTGCCCCTGTTTTGTAATGTGTGAAATTTTTATTTACATCTATATCCTATTAAACCCCTAGCGTACTTTTCCATTCATATGGCTTTTTCATTCTCCTCCCAGCTCAGACCATGGAAGTGTCTAAGTCGTGATTGAAACTTCTCCGGTGAAACTTCATCTCCTTGACCAACGAACTTTTCCAAAATCTCATGTCGCAATTAATTCCCTAGGTACGCTGTCAGTATGTTTTGAAAAGTTATAAAACTGGTAGCGAGGGAGTGCCACAAGGGTTAGGTCACGGGTTTGAATCCCGTCAACTGCGATGAGAGGTTACTATGATAAAAATGCATAGGGCCTCTGCAAGTACCGGGGACAGAACCTCACTCTCTATCTGTCAGATTGTGATTATAGTCCAATTTACATCTTCTCATCGTGCCGTCTGGTCGGTGTTGGGGGCCTCAAGGATGGGGTGTCATCCTTTTTTTTTTTGAAAAGTTATAAAAATAATATGTAGTGCAAATTGAAATACTACACCAAATATACTAATCGAAACACACATACAAATAAAACACGGCCTTCAAGAAAGGTAGTTGGCGAAGTCTAAATATTATACACTGAAGGAGCAAGGAAGCGAGACAGTGGTTCCAAATTTAATGCCCACCAGATCATATTCTAAATTTAATACGAGATGATAGAAATGGGAGAGAACTACCAAATAAGCCCTCGAACTTACATAAAAAATGCAAATCACTCCTTATATAGGAGGCTCTGTCTAGTCTTGGACTCGGGTCAGGTGGCCCGACCCGGAATTGGCCCGAGACCGGTACTGTACTGAACCGGCCCGGCCAGTGACCGGTCCTGGTAGGCCCGGCCCGGGGAGTTCCCGGTGCGGGCTTGGGTCACCCAAAAGCCGAACCGGCCATGCCGGTTCGGGCCCGGTTCCGGGCTTTTAATTTTTTTTTTTCAATTTTATTATCTTTTCGGGTTGGGCTGGGCATTTTGGGCCATTTGGGGTGGTTTGGGGGGTTGGGGTGGGGGTGGGGGGTTAATTAGGAAAAGGAAAAAAAAATTGACCCGAGGCCCGGCTCGGCTCGGACCCGACAGCTACCCGGGCCTCCATTAAAAAACCCGAGGCCCGACCGGGCCTAGGCCTGGCCCCAGCCCGTGTCCATGACTAGCTCTGTCTGGCCGTCGACATTTGGGGCGGTTCCTGGTGGAATTTTTTGATGAATTTTTTTGAGCATCTTATTCATTAAGTCTAGTTTACTCATACCAAATTTCAACTAAAAATTCAATCAGAAAAGCAGTCAAATGAACTTTTGAAGATAACTGCGCAGTTAAACAGTGCAGTATATTTCAGAAAATCATTTGACTGCCTTCACGGTTGAATTTTTAGCTGAACTTTGGTATGAGTAAACTAGACTTAATGAATGAGATGCTAAAAAAAATTCATTAAAAAATTCCACCGGAAATCGCCCCAAATGACGACGGCCGGACAGAGCTAGTCTTGGACTCGGGCCGACCGGCCTAGGAACCGGCCCGGCCCACTACTGTGCGGGCCTGGCCCGGCCCGGCCCACTACTGTGCGGGCCTGGCCCGGCCCGGCCCAGTGAACTGGGTATGGTTCCGGGCCTAGGCCCGGTCCCGGGGGTTAGGGTGGGGCGGTCCTGGTTCAGCCCACTCTTTGGAACCGGCCCGGCCGGTCTCGGGCCCGGTTCGGGCCTTTTTTTTCTTTCATTTTTTGGGCTTTTTCCTGAGTTGGGCTAGGTGTTTGGGGGGGGGGTGGGGGTGGGGGGTAGGTGGGTCGGGAGTTAATTAGAAAAGAAAAAAAATAACATGGACCCGGCCCGTCCCGGACCCGGTGGTAACCCACGCCGGTCCCAGTCCTTCACCCCAAACATCAAAAGCCCGGCCTGGCCTAGGCCCGACCCGGACCCGACTCGACCCGAGTCCAACACTAAACAGAGCCTCCTATATAAGGGGTAGAGGTGTGCACCGGTTCAAATTAAAACTGGACCGGACCGGAACCAGAACCGGAGTTGCAAGAGAATAGAAACCGAAAACCGGACCGGATATATTCCGGTTTTGAACCGGAACCAAACCGCCTTTACCGGTTCAAAACTGGAACCGGACCGCAAGAACCGGTTTGTAAGTTATTAGTTTAATATACTAAAAAATATAAATAATGTGTTTAATAAAATGGGGTATTTGTTACTAATACCATTACCATTACCGTTACCGTTACCGTTACCGTTACCGTTACCGTTACCGTTACCGTTACCGTTATCGTTGCCGTTGCCGTTGCCGTTGCCGTTGCCGTTGCCGTTGCCGTTGCCGTTGCCGTTGCCGTTGCCGTTGCCGTTGCCGTTGCCGCTGCCGCTGCCGCTGCCGCTGCCGCTGCTGCTGTTGCTGTTGCTGTTGCTGTTGCTGTTGCTGTTGCTGGTGCTGTTGTTGTTGCTGTTGCTGTTGCTGTTGTTGTTGTTGTTGTTGTTGTTGTTGTTGTTATTATTATAAATTGTTATTATAAATTGTTACACCCCGGACCTACCGGACACGTCAACAACCCGCCGTACAGTACGAATAGTCAACCGCAGTCCAACTCATTCATACAATACTAGGCGTCTTGAATACCATTCACACATAGTACATCCATAAACAAACATAACGTAAAATATTCATTGAAAGCAGCGGAAACATTTAATATAAGTGTTTATGCCACACTTCGGAAAACATGGGCATACAAGCCCCCAAATAATTATTCAAAGATAATATCCATGAGCATTAATTGAAATGTTTTTAAAACAGAAGCGGAGGAAGCACGAACCGCGTCTTCTCTCCTTGATCTCCCCGAAGCAACGGGCGATGGTAGCAAACTTTAACCTCTACCTGAAACTGTGAGGTGGCCTCCCCCGTGAAGGGGAGGTCAGTACTTGGAAGCATTTGACAAGTACAATGACAACTATACTAAGTATAATCAATGTTTCAATTTCTAAGACCCTCAAATAGAGTGATATTATATTATAGGTCATAACCCTTGGTTACCCTCTTTGAAAAATATACTTACTTTATATATAAAGTAAAGTAGTCGGCCCGTATGCCCATGTTTACTTTGAAAACATCCAACCCTTTCCCCCGCGGCTTCAAGCCACGCTCATTATATTACTTTGTCATGCTAGAGACTTCATCTAGTCATGTTCTATCGTGCTAGAGGCTTATTCTAGTCACTCCACTTGGTGTTAGAGGCTTCCTCTAATCACCTTACATACGTTGTGCTAGAGGCTTCCTCTAGTCACCTTACGTTATGCTAGAGGCTTCCTCTAGCCATATCTCATTATGCTAGAGGCTTTCTCTAGTCATCCTACATTATGCTAGAGGCTTACTCTAGTCACCCTACGTTATGCTAGAGGCTTTCTCTAATCATCTTACATTACGCTAGAGGCTTCCTCTAGTCGTTCTACATTAATGCTAGAGGCTTCCTCTAGTCATTCTTCATCGTGCTAGAGGCTTCCTCTAGTCACGATATTAATTCACTAAGTAAGTTCTATGCCTAGAGTTTCTCTATTATGAGTAGCCTTTGAGGCCTACCCCTATCATGAATTAGCGCTTACTCGTTCCTACCTTAAAGTATCTCATAAGACCACTTAAGGTACATCTTCCACAATCCAAGCCCTTAGGATTTGTTCTATCGTTTTTCATACTAATATTTCAACTAGTATTTCAATACTAGTCAATTAATCTTAGGACAACCAAGTTCCTAATCCATAGTCATAAAGTTCATTCCAATTGCTTTTCCAATCCAAATACAATGTAATCATAATACCAATAATATTACTTTTATCCATTCATGAATTCGCTACATGAAGTAAAAGTATATTTTATCTCGATATTCATAGTTAATTCAACTATCATGCCTTCATATTCATATCACATAATCATACACAATTTATCTCATAAATTTGTATATCATGCTTCAATTACTTATACATCGTTCTTTTCATATAGGCATTATTAAACATTTAATAATCCATGAAAAACTCATTTAATGATCTTAGGTAATCTTATGAAATTAACCCAACAATTATAAGCAATATAGTCTGCCATCCTCACCTTATGAAGTGCTGAAATAGTCACCTTTGTTAAGCCCTTCGATCAATCCCCATTCTAAACTGTTTGAAAGCTAAAACTGGGCTGCCTGGACAAAAGCCGGCCGGATTTGGCAATAGCCGGGCGATGTTCGTGGTCTGCTACCGCGGGCAGCTCTTTTCTAGTGGCGGTCTCCGGCGATTTCGACTCCTATCGATTCACCAACTCTTCTAAGTTAATTACCACCACTTTATATCAATATTCTACACTTTTAAATGTGTAGAACTTCGCTTTTAATCCACTATATGATTTCCTAAAAATCATACACCAAAAACTAGTTAAAGAATAAAGGTGTGTTCTTACCTCTTCTTCTAGCTATTTTCTCTTGGATTTTCCTCTCTTCTTGCTTCCCTCAAGCTATGGACTATGTGAGAGAGTTTCCTGGAGCTTCTTCCTCCCTTGGTTTGTTCGAATAATGCAAGAGGATAGGGGGATGTTTCCTTCTTAATCAAAGGCCAATAATAAGGCAAATGATATGACATGGGGGTGTGGTTTTGTCTTGAGCCATCCCCTCTCCTCATAGGTCCGCCCCTAGCCTTATTTACTTGTCCCCTCCCAATAATTTTGGGAGTTATTTGACTGGTAAAGTATCTCGAGTGGGTGTAGGAAGTCCCTCCCGATTATTCATGCTATTTTTGGCAGGTTGGGCGAAAATAGCACTTGGGTTGTCCAAACATTTTTATCGACTTTAGTTGACGTTTTATTGTGCTTCTATAATTATTACGATGACCCAACTAAATATTTGGTAGCCCATCCTCATTATTATGGCCCGCTTAAATAATTTAATTAATCACGCATTAATTAAATAGGTCAATCCGTTACACGAATTTATTCGCTAGGAAATTCAAATACATATCAAATTTCAAATTCAAGTACATCCGGGCACGGTGTCACAGACGGTCGCCATCCCAGATCAAGGATGGACGAGCCCGCCCGAAAGCCAGGCACGACAATGCTGTGGAGCCCGTGCGTGCTGCATAAGAGCAACGGTCGCCATCCCAGAGTAAGGATGGACGAGCCCGCCCGAAAGCCAGGCACGACGGTGCTGTGGAGCCCGTGCGTGCTGCATAAGAGCGACGGTCGTCTCCGTGGTATGGCCTTACGTTGCCATGGTCCTTATGTTGCCATTAAGTCACCGGCTATAATAACGACGGTGATGGGGGTGACACTAAACGTGAAAGAGAGAAGGATGAGAGTATATGTAAGGTATATTGGGTGGAAATTAGGGTTTTAGTATAATATTTATTTGAAGAGTTTCTCTACATTCCTTTATGATCAGTCTTTTTTTTTTATATTTTTTTGAACAAAAATAGCCTACATTCATATCATAAGTTTTAGGATCATTACATCAATGAGATGAAAAACAAATCTGACACCAAACAGACACCAACAACTACGACTGTAAACCCTATGGTGAGACTTAAAGACGGTCACCCTTGAAAGAGCAACACGAATCGCTAACCATGTACCAGGCTTGACACAGCCATCCCTGTTTCCAAAGATCCAAACATAGCTAATGACATGAAGAAAGGCTAAAATCCCAAACAAACTGACACACATAGCAACAAAGACAGTAACGAGAATCCAAATGACAAAATAATAAAATCTCATCGGAGGAGGACAAAGCATGAGAAAATCTAAACAATCAAAATAAATGTCTTGAACCCTAGCACCTCTTTCAACCCCTGGCGGTGGCTCAGGAGGAGACCGGACCTTCGTCGCTCGATTGGTTACCTCTCTCGTTGTCTCTCCGGATTCGGATTCAGAAACCCCATCATCATCAATCAGTAGCGCACCCGCCGTAGGACCCAAATCCATGTCATTGAATTGATCAATCAACTTCTCCTCCACGTTAACCATGTCCATCGCTGCTACCACGATTGTCCAAACCACGCACTACGACGCCAAAGATGCGTCGAAAAAGCAGCGCCGCACCTACGATGGCGAAAAACACACCCTACGCGAAAAGTTCTCGCTAGATCAGTCTTTTTTTATATTTTGAAACTAGTTTTATTATTGCATTTCTGTATTGATTTTTTCTTCTTCAAATTTGACTGCAATTGAGGTTGTTTAGAGGAAAGAGAAATAATAAAAAATACTTTCTTCATCTCTCCAAACTTTACGGGGCACGAAAAAATAACAATGTTTTAATAACCAAAAAGGATGTCTCTCTGGATCTCCCCTCTAAAATTTGGATAGGTAACGGAGCAAATGGTTTGTGTATGAAAATCTACCTTTTTTCTGTAAAAACTGCCATCGTTTTGGACATAAAGATAAGGACTGCCCCAAATGTTCACTGCCAAAGGGCGGGGGTGCAAGCTGCAGTGCCAATGTCCCTGTTACTAATGGTATTGATGCTTGTACCAAAGTTTCACCGAATGTTATTCATGTTTTGATTACTCAACAGTCGGGTACCTATAAGGCTATAATGCTGATGTTACTGATGTTATTGATGATATTGCTACTTTGGAAAGTGTTTTAGCAGTTTCTCATCCCACCGATAAGGCCAAATTTCAAGATACTATTTGCTCAATTGATAACTCATGTTATCCTTGTGCCCCTGTGAATGCCAAACAAGTCCAGGCAGGTGGTTCCGTTATTGATATTTCTATGACAAATGCCCCTGTTTCAATAGAGAAGCCAGGTTCTAATTGTGCTTCTGTTAACGAACTTACTACCACTGTAACTAATGCCCCTATTTCAGTTGATAAGCCAGGTTCTAATTGTGCTCCTGTTAACGATCTTACTAGAATCACTTGTGATCCCGTTAAAGAAGTTATTGTCCCTAAATATGTTGCTGTTGATGCTAAAAATATGGGTTTAGGTCCCATTCAAGTGGTAATAGACCACAACGAGGCCCCTGTTGATGCTACTCAGTCTGCCTCAGTCCAACGCGAGTTGGCTTTTTATTATGATGAAACCCCGGTGGCCACCCATCACGAGGCGGTAACTGAGGGTATTCACCAACTGGTTACCTATGAGGCTGGATATGATACTTTTGAGGCCCGGAATGGAAATGATGGGATCCTCTCTGATCCGACGCAAGACTATGCAGTGACTACACTTATCCCGATCCAGTCCAGTGATGAAACTATTTCTGATGACACCCAAATGCTAACTTTTTATGATGCAGTCATGCAGGTAATACCGAAAATTGTACAATTGAGGAGGAAAACTTTGAAGGATTTACGCAAATCAAAAGTAGAAAAGCAAAAACACAATCTGCAAAATCTCTCCAAACGAAGCCACAGAAGATGCTCAACTATACTACCAGGTAGGATACTCATCTCATCTCATGATCACCCGAAGCCACTCAAAAAGACCTCAAAGCGAAATAGACTACTTTCTCTACCCAGTGGACGGGAGGTTTGATTCACCGCATAAATTGGCAGCCGCCCTCCAGCGCTTTAGGCAATCTCGTCCAGAAGAAACAATATTTAGGCCTTATCTTAAGAGAGCCATAAGGTTTCACAACAGGCCTTATCATAAGGCTTCAATTGGAATCCCATCAAAAGATTTTAATTGTTGATGTAATTTTATTCATGTTCGTTCCATTTATCTTGTTCTTTCAAGTCACCGTTTGTAATCTCAACTCTATTGTACTCATAACCTTATTACAATAAATTAGGGAGGTGTTCCCCGGCACCCCCACCCAGTGTGGATTGAACCCGGGAAAGGAAAAACAACCAAAAAAGGAAAGATATAAATATATAAGAGACGGATGGAGCACAATTTAACTTAATACTCCGTAATCTATTGTTTTATATAGTAAAACACATGTAAGAAAAGCTGACATCACTCCGTTATTGGTCTAACAAAATTATATATGATCACTATTTTAAAATCATTTAAGTAATTTCAACTAATAATTATTTTAACTCACCATCTTTTCCCAAATTGAATGGTTTAACTGACTTTAAAGACATGGAATTAGGACTCGATATACACATAGGAGAATCAAGATTACGGCTATTTGTTCAATACCAAATAGAGCTCTAATTGAACATAAATTTAATACCATTAGGAGATTATATTATTATTATTATTATTATTATTATTATTATTATTATTATTATTATTATTATTATTATAAAACGGCTTCATAAATTTTGAACAAAAACATTTGTATCACAAATTAATTAAAACAACTCCCAAATGGAATTAGCAACTTAACAATTTATTCAAATATAAAAACAGCTCTTTATAGGGAAAATAAGGATATTTTTACTTGAAATTATTTTAGTCTGAGATTAGACCTGACCAAGTCAGTTCAGACCAGACCAAATCAGATTTTGATAGTTGTGAATTACACAGAAACAAAAAATTTACCAGATCAAATCAGATCAGTTCAGATCAGGCCAAATTAGACCAGACTTGATATTTTTTATCCAAGTAAAAATATCTGATGTAGCTTTGTTCATTCAAAAACTTCCAGTCCCACACATAATCAACCATATAAATATTGTAACAAATATCATATAAACCCAAATCAATAAAAGCTTATTGTTTTGAAATTTATTTGAACCCAAGAATTATGACAATCATCATTATACTCACCAACTCAAAGCAAGCAAACATATACTCCGTATGAAATAACTAATACCTTAAGTTCAAGCTCTTGATTTCTAACTATGATAATTACGTACTCCCTAAATTTGTGGTAATCATCATTATACTCCGTAGTATTTATTAAAGTATTATTTGTATATTGTATACGAATTTTCTCGAAATATGAATAAATAGGTTTTGGAATTCCAAAATATGTTTGTTATGTTTCAATTCTCTTTCTGAAATAAGTGTAATATGATATTATGTAGTATTTATTGTCACCTTGGAGTACTAGACATTAACATAACAATATTTTCAATCATGACAAGTACAACTCTTATTTCGAAAAGAAAAATAAAGTAATTCTCTTTTGGAATTCCAGAATCTGTTTACTCCTATTTTTGACAATTTCCCTAATTGCACAATTGTTTTTAGGGAAAACTGTCAAATAGGTCTATCTACTTTTGACAAAAAGTCAATTGAGTCCACCTACTTTTTTTCGAGTCAATCAAGTCCGCAAACTATCAAAACACGACCAAATTTGCTATTTAATAGGTAGCTAACCGGTTACCCAGTGAGTTGCCTAGGTGGATGTCCTAGCTGGCGTTTTTCATTACTGTTTTCCGTTTTTTTCTTTTCCTTTTTTTTTTTTTTTTACTTTTTCTCCTCTTTTCTTTTTCTCTTTCTTTCTTTCTTCCTGGCCCGTTCCTCTTCTCCTCTAACAGTCCCCTGCCCCCCTTCCCTTGTTCGCTTCTTCCTATCTTTCTTGTCTCCACTGTAAATCCGGTTACTTTCTTCCATTTTTGTTGCCTCTCTGTCGATCCCACTGGAACAGATTCCGCTGCCCCGGCCTCTCTAGCCACCAACTCCGCCGCCCAGCCTCCATAGCCACGTCTCCGAAGTCCGGCCTCCACCGCCCCTTCCGCCACACACACCGCCTCCAGCCAACACCTGTGTGGCTTCCCCTTCGCCTCCTCGATTGAAACGACCTCCAACCGCGCCGGCTTCCATAGCCACCACCTCCGCCGTCCTTACCACCGTACCCACCACTTCCGGCTTCCACCTCCGCTTCTTCCATTGAAACGACCTCCTGACCTCCATGGCTCCAATCGCACCGTTCTCCATAGCTAGTTAGCCGCCAGCACCACCTCCTCCATGCCTCCATAGATCGGCAGTTGGCCAGTTGCAGACGCAGGGAGATGAGTTGCAGATGCACAAGGAGTGCGGATGCAGGCAGATGCAAAAGAAACACAAAAAGAAAAAGGAAAAGAAAAAATAGTAAAGAGTAAAAAAAATGCCAACTGGATGTCCACGTAGGTGGTCAACCGGACAACCGGTTGTTTACCTATTAAATTGTCCATTTGATCGTTTTTTTATAGTTCATAGATTAAATTGACCTGAAAAAAGTAGATGAACTCAATTGACTTTTTGGAAAAAGTACTTGGACCTATTTGACAGTTTTCCCTTGTTTTTATGGCCTAATAAAAGTTATTCAAACTCATTCGTTAACTTTAGAAATATATAGCTTAGATTAGAATTCATACATATAAAATTTAAAATTGCACAATGATTTTGATCATTATTAAAATTGTTAATTAATAATATCTTCCTTCCTTAAAACTTGATCAAGTATGACTGACACACGATTAATAAAATAAAAACTATGTGATTGGGGTTTGTGCAAATGAGACAAAATTTACTGGAACCACAAGTTCTTTACCTAAAAGAAAAATGACAAAGTTTGTGGGACAACCAAAAAGAACAATTGACAAAGTTTTAACGGACTAAGGGAGTAATAATAGATAGAATGCATTTTGAACCCATCTAATTGAATAGCTCTAGACTGTAATAATAATAATAACAATAGTACTCCGATCCCTTCGTCCCTTAAAACTTTGTCAAGTTTGACTGGTACAAAGAATAATAAAGTAAAAACTGTGTGGTTGAGGTTTGTGCAGGGGAGAGATAAATAATAGAAACCACAAATTAGTTGATTAAAAAGAAAAATGATAAAGTTTTTTGGACATCCCAAAAAAGAAAGATGACAAAGTTTTAAGAAACGAAGAGAGTAATAATAAACACATGCACATGAGTCATTTAAAATAATATTTCTCAAAAGTTCAGTAAACATACCATTTTTCAACAAAAGATGTTATTAACCATTCTTGTAAATAATTCACAGCCTCTATTGATACTTACTACGTACTATTTTAATTCATATCGATGTGACGTTATCAGGGTATGTCCCGACTGTTACACTAGTTAAAAGGGAAACTAATATGAAAAATGCGGTTTATACACACCACCATATACCAAGCTTTAGGATGTTTTCTTTTGGACTGCCTTCAGTCCCAGATCAGACCAGACTTAAACAAACCAGACCATACCAGATTCGGACAATTATAAAATACACAAAGATCAGACATTTATCAGACCAGACTAGACAAGATTAGACATAAATAGACCAAACCGACAAATTATAGTTCAAAAGAAAACATCCTTATACCCACCCTGTGAGAGGCTATTTTTTGTCCATGAGATCCCGTTCACAGACAAAATAATAGTATCTCGTAGGGATGTGTATAAAGGTGAGTATAAAAGTAAGTATAAATAACAAATACTCTCTTTGTCCCACAAAATTCTTCTAATTTTTCTTTTTGGCTCGTTTCAAAAATCTTTTTACTTATCATTTTTGGACAGATTGTGTGACTCACATTAATTTTTTTACGCAACTATAATTATACATTTTCACTTTACTCTCACTTTTTTAATCTAAGTTGCACGGAAACGCGAAACGGAAAACGTGAAACGGGAAACGGGAAACGTGAGAAACATAATTTCTAAAAAATATAGGATACGAAACGTGGGGGAAACGCGTAAATATTATAAAATAGAAGGATATATTTATAAATAGTTTTTAATATATGTACACAAGTTTTTCCATATGCACATGTTTTTTTCGTATAATTTGTTTGGTAACCAAATAATAAAATCACTCTATTTCATAAAATGTACATAATTAAACATAAAATGTACGGAGTAATACATTTCTAACAATACATTGCGTTACGAAATGTAACAAGTGTTGCTGCTGAGAAATACTGCAAAAAATCACTATTAAAAAAATAATTTTCCACCACAAAATCTTTATAAAAGAAAAAAATTTGGAATCCGAGGTTTCCGAAATGTAGTGAAACGGGTTTCCAAATTTTTCTTAATTACGGAAACGGCCCCGAAACGGGAATTTGAAGTTTTCGAGTTTCCGAAACGCTTCCGAGTTTCCGAAACGTGGAAACGTGAGCCGTGGAGAGTTTTCGTGCTTCATACTCCTTTCGTACCCCTAAGTTTGTCCCGTTTTACCTTTTTCGTCCGTCTCATTAAGTTTGTCTCATACCATATTAGGTAATATTTGAGTAACTAGAATTCATTTTTACTTTATTCACACTTTATCAATTCAATACCAACAACACAATTCTACTTTTTCATAAAAACCACACCACACTCCTTTGCCCCAAACTTAGGGGAGGAGGTCGTAGTTTTTAGGGAGTGTTTGCAATCACTTAAAAAAGCACTTCTCAGCTATTGGCTTAAAAAACACTTATTTACCAAACACTACAAATTTTTACTTTTTCTCGGCTTGCGTGTGAAAAGTGCTTTTCCCCTTTCTATTACACAAAAAGCACTTATTTACCAAACACTATCAACTTTTACTTTTCAAAATCATTTTTTTCTCAAACACTATCAACTTTTCCTACTAATCACTTTTTCCTTACATCTCCAAAAGTGCTTTTTTTAAAAGGAGAAATAGTTGCAAACACTCCCTTAATATGCTCGTCAAATCAGGCAGAAGTTTTTTTTGGACAAAGGGAGGAGTAAAAAGGTAGAGGGTAACACGAGTATATGTATTACCTATTATACTTGTTGCATAGTACATACTTCCATGGCCCACACCCCCGTCACCCTCTCCTACAACCGTAAAGTGAAAAGCGCGAAGACTACGAGTAGTACGATAGCAGCCAGCAGACGACGCTGAGATAGATTCAAAACTAATACTATATCCAGTTTTCTCTCCCACGCGCGAAGTAGCGGTCAGCGGAGGCTTTCAGAAGCAGTGGATATGGCGGACATGAGAGAAAATGAAAGAGATAGAGGCGCAGAGTTACCGGTATTCCCTTCCGCCATTCCTTCCGGCGAGCAAACTGTATGGGCCGACGTTTCACCCCTTCTTCAGCACGCCTGTGAAGGTCCTTAATTTTCAATGTTCATATATATGCAATATATGTACATGCTGATATGACAGCTTTGAGCTCAGTTTTTTCAGCTTCCGAAGAAAACAGATTAGTTTTAGTCTGGGAAAAACTGTTTTAATGGCGTTGTGCTTTCAAGAATGCCAGTAAGACATAAAAGTTGAGAACTCGGAGTGATTAAATAAAGTGGTTAAATGGAATAGAATAAAGAATTTGTACAGTGGCCATTCAGGGGCTCCACTGAGTGTTTGATTAGGGTTATCTAACGAATGCATTCTATGTACTTGGATTGAGATTTTCATGAATTCATTCTGATGGCGTAAATTACTTGTCATGTGTATCTTATAAGTGACTAGCTCTTATTTCGAGTAAAATTTCACCTGCATTGAGTTTATTCTGGATCAGGTTACAACCTTTATTGAATTGTGTTTTTTGAATTTTTCGAATTTGTTTTGTCAGGTATTCCTCAGATATGAATGTTAACAAATTAATACACCAATAAAAGCTTGGCATGATTGAAATAGGAAAATAGGTGGTTGATTGATAACTAAAATGGAATGGAATTTGCAGCAGTTACTCTTTATGATCCTTTAGTTATAAGTGCGGTACCTTTATCACAATGATCTACAAGGTTAAAGTACACAGATTTTGTGCTTCATAGTCGACAGTTCATTGGCTCAAGATTTCTAATCCGTATATCTTGTTTGTCGTGTTCAATAAACAAAAGTTGTGAGAAACGTCCAATTTGAAGGTTGGACAGTTCTCGCACGAAAAGGAAGGTCTGCCGTGTGGCTGGGGTGCATGAGTGGAGGCGGATCTACACCACCTTATCCCGGGATCAGACACTGTAGATTGACAAGCAAACCATAAAACCCCGGTTGCTGAGTTTCTCTAAAGTTCATCTTGAAATTATGTTTTCAAATTTTAATCAACAAATTAAATTTGAGTCCTTGAATTTTATCCAAAGTCCTAAAAGGAAGATTAGGTGCTAGGCATGTTCAGGGCACCCGGATTTCCCTTCAGGCGTCTCAGAGCTCTGTTGCTAAATGCCAATTATTTGTGTGAAGGATGATTTGGCCGAGCACCCATCTATTTTTGGGTTTTTTTGTGTGTTAAAGATGATATAGAGTAGCACTTGTTTTCCATAATCATACGACTCGACCCACACCATATCACGCTAAGATGAGGTGCTTTACCACTTGAACCACACTTCATTAGGATTTGTTTACTTTCACTTAAGCGATTTGGTTATTTTATATGATAGAATCTTGTGATAAAAAGATTGTTTTTAATACATTCCTAGAAATTAGATGTCATCAGGTCCTATATCAAGTGTAGATTCATTGTTCGTGATTGATCATTAACTTTTCTTCTTAAACTACATATAATAATATCCATACATATATTTTGTCAAGTTAAATATAAAATAGAGACTTAGAGATACATTTTCACTCAAATATTAACATTAATAACATTATGGAAAGTTCAAGAGGAGACTTAATAATCTCTGATTAACCTTGCATTGGTCCCGATTGTTCCCATTCTGCTTGCCCACTGCAACAGGATTTGTAGTTCAAACTTCAATGCATAGATGAAATTTGGGTTGTCAGTTATAATATACTACGAAATTGTATGCATCTAATCCGACTGTGCTTGTCCACCATTAAAATACAAGTTTCATATCTTTTTGAATATCTACTATAACCCCATAATTTCTTTCTCTACCTCCAAATGACAGATCTAAGTCGTCTTCTGGGGTTACAAGAGTTGCATTGCCAGACTATTTATTGTTTCATTTCATTCATTCTTCGTAGTTTTGTCTCAGATCTTGAGGATGGAGAACTCATACATGGAGAAAATTTCAATCTTCATGCTGCCATGTCAGCATTAGAGGTAATGTTGCATTCTTATGTTTGGTGCTATTATTGTGTAGTGAAATCTGGCTCTTAAAATGGATGTTGACTTGTGCCCGTTTCTGGTTATGTTTGCGTAAATGCTATGCGGGTCATATTCAGATAATGGATCCAAAGATGGATTCTGGAATGGTTCGTACATACTACTCTGTTGATGAAGCAATCGAGTGCGGTGTTGCCCCTGTTCCTCTGAGTGTTGATAGAACCATTGATGTTCAACGCATAATTGACATTATGGATCATCTTTTTGCTTGTGAGGTACATCTTTGTGTCCTTCATTAATGACAGTTCATTGTATTGTACACACTCGGTATATGTAGAAACTAGAAAGGTTTCCCATATAATAAAACTCTACTCTCGTTTTGCAGGCTACATGGCATAAAGGTCAAGCACTAGCACAGACTGTATTTTCATGCATCTACCTTTTAAGGCCTGATAGAACATCATCATATCCACTACTACATTCATTTTGTCAAGTCACACGTGCTACTTGCAATGCAGTTGTTTCCACAGTCTCGGAGGCACGAACAAATGAAGTAAAGTACTCCATCAACCTTTGACCCTTTTCCTTATGTTAGAAAGATAGCGTGCAATGAAGTGATGAACTGTTAATCTGTTATTCATCTGAGCCAATGATTATTTTAGTAGAAAAAAACTGTGATGTGGTGTTTCTGACTTTTAGTCATGGTTCTCACTAGTAGCTACACACATCTATCATATTCCACTTTACTAGTCTACGTAATGTGTTGGTAATCTGAGAGGTCAGCATTAGTGCGTTACATACTGTATCTTTATAATGGGTTGTGCATTGTGATTGTAAACATGGTTTACAAAGGCGCTTAAGAGGCGGGTTTTGAGGCGTACAGATTGGGTATCAAAGCTTAGGTTTTTTTCGCAGGTTAAGAGGCTTACGCCTCAAAAGTTGAGGCGTACGCCTTGAGGCGTTTTTCATTTGTTTCTCATGTGCAGTAACTTAAAAAAGGCCCGAGGCATTTCATTTAATAAAAGGCCCAGAGTACTTTTTACATAGAAGTCTATTAATTAAACATGTAGCCACACTAAACCCTAACAAGTCGTATTTCATTTAAATCTTAACAAGTCTTTTATTCATTTAAACCCTAAGTCCTTAACGTATACTTTCTATTCATCTTTCAGTGTGATGTTTCTGTGTGTGATATGTCTGTTTGTGTGTGATGCTTCTGTTTGTGTGCTTGAATTCTAATGTCTTACTGGTATCAGCTCATATGTGTTTGTGTTTCACACTTTTTGGACTTCACACTTACTGGTATTATCTCATATGGATCATCATCATCATCATCATCATCATTACCCCAGTGCCGCAAAGGCTCCCACCTATAGTGGGGTAAGGGGGGGTCGGATGTACGCAACCTTACCCCTGTACTAAAGCACAGAGAGGCTGTTTCCGCATGACCCATGGTGAAAATTACGTCGATCGTTGCATGGACTGACTGCTACTTCATAACAAAGAACCGTAGACAGTTCACTGAACCATTTTGCTTTATTCCATCATATTCCCAAGCCAAAAAATAGTGAATCTTTGGCTCCATTGCAAATGATGGAAAATATTATCTCATATGGATATATCTCAAATTTGTATGTGCACTTTAATCAATAGAGGAGGCATGCTTAAGGTTTGCATGAGTATGTTTTGCTAGAATTTGAAATTTTATTTCTGGTCTATTGTAGGAGGAAGATCTATTCACAATGACGCACGGATTGCCATTGAAAGTGGATGGGGATGATAAATGCTTAACAATGTTGCATGCAGTAGATGAAACTGTTTCTCGCCAATTACGTGCTTGCAAAGCTCCATTTGTTAAGAAGAGAGTTTTAGAAGGTAATCATCAAATTATTGGTCGTGATGTGATATAACATTAAACTTTCTTTAAACTAAATGCCTACATATGTGTTGAATTAGTAATCTTAGATTGTTGTTGATGTTGCTTTTCTGTACTGGACATAATGGATTCTTACTGGCATCTATGATTCAGGAGATTACAAATTTGATTTCATGATACTTTTCCATTCTTACCTGAGCTATCTAATGATAGATCTTTTCATGGAATACTTTAGTCAGTTTAGTGTAGTAATTAGCTCATGTTCCATACTTCCATGCACCGTGCATGTTGATGTTACATTATCAAAATATGATGATGTAGCATAGCTGCATACTAAGCTGTATGCATTTGTAATGATAAACTAATTTTGGAGTTTGGACAATGAATTGACACCCTAACTTAGGCTATCTACGTAACACATTCGTAATGTTCCACTTTACTTCCTCAGTAGGGAAGTAAAAATTAATGTTGATCCTATTTCAGAAATTGTGTTACGTAGTATGTTTTAGTCCTATTTAGGGAAGTTTCTCATCTTAGTTTGGTGGCGTATGCTCTTACGTTTGGTAGAGTACTGGAATGTCGTTATTAGGTTATTACAATATTATACAGATTATCATTTACCACAATAGAGACATTGTTTAACAACAGCGATGATGTGAAATGTTAGGCAATATCAAGACTTATTTTCCCATCCATTTAAACCAAGGGTTACCACTTAAACAATTTGAAAGAGACTATACAACAACATCAAAACCTTATTCCTGAAAGAGTTTGGGGTTGGCTAACATGAATCAACATTTGATATCTGAGAACAAATGAATAATTAGAGAGAAAAGAAGTCAAAAAATGAGATTAATCCTCCATACATATACTCTCTCTCTCCACTTCAACCTCTCCAAGAAGTAGCATATCATTCTTGACCATTCTAATCCACGTCTAATTAAATTAATAAAAACTATAATAGAAATAAATATTATACAGTACTTGTATCGCTTAATTTTAATGCTATGTGAGCTTATTTTTGTTCCACATTTCTTATTATTTTTTTTGCTTTGTCATTTTCTCATAATGGCTTGTAATTTATTATGTATTCAATTCTCACCTCGGCTGTTATGGATTCCAAAATTGTGCCAAAAATGCTGCTTGTGAGAAGGGTGATGCAGGAGCATTGCAAATCTATTGACAGAAATAACTGAAAGCTCTAATGCAGTTATTGTAGCAAAGTAATTACCATGCGTGTTTGAAAGATGATGCATCACTTGGATGGAACTCAAAAAGATGACGCTTACAACTTTACAAGACTGTTACTAATACAATAAAGCAAGAAACATTGTACTGTTGCTATTGATAAAGTGTAGAAGCGAAGTGAGGAAGACGGAAGTCTTTACATAGAAGTAGGAGATAACAAAAAAATCAATGATGTGGTGGGTGACAGGTCTATTTTTTTTTCTCTAAAAAGAATGGAGCTACCGCTCAAGCTGCTATTAATAGCATGCATAAGAAGAATGTGAGACAGTGAGAGTATATATGCCAAACAGTTGCAATATATATCTTCAACAAAATTATTCTATTCAATATAGCAAGTGGAGTATTGAATGTTATGTACGGTATGATTTCAATAATCATATCATGGGACCAGATTAATACCATCATCCTGTTATGAAATTGAAATTAGAGTGAAGTATCTGAAAAACAAGAAATAGATTTGATGAAAGCTGTTGTTGAAAAGTTTAGAGGAAGGAATGAGAATAAATAGGTGGCACTGTGATGACTGATGCGTAGACCGATAGTCCGATACAAGAAAAGAATATTGATAAGCCTAAATTGGCAAAAACATTGTTTTTGGCTATTTTTGTGTTTTAAATTGACCAATTCTTTATACTGCAGCCTGTTTGGTGCACCTTGTTTTTCTTGTATTTATATAAGAAAAGGCTGTCAACAGTAACTGTTCACACATGGCATCTAAAACAGGGTTTATTGAAATAATAACTATTTCATCATATTTCCTTAACCTTGTTGGTTATTCCTTGGATTACGAAATATACGCTATTATGTGATGCTTGAACTTGCTATATCAATGGATTAATGACCTCATTATTGCTCGTTTTAAGTATGATATTTGTTGAGTGCTAATATATTTGTATTATATTATTTAAAGTGGTTTTTAGTATAAGTTTGCATTAAAATTGAGGCCTGCTCCTCATTGTTCAAACAAGTATCATACTATCATGTTTACTATTATATTCACGTTATGATTGTCTCATGTTTTGTACTTCTATCAGTTGTTTTCCTTGCTCTGACTGTATGCCATGTGTTAATAGCGTTTTGAGGTCATGCCTAATTGCTCTGCCTCTGTTGACTGCTCTGAAGTCGGCAACCTTTCTGATTAAGTTGTAGTGATCATTTTGTGCAGATATGGAGCCATTACAAACTAATCTTGATCTAGAAGAAGGATTCTGCAAAGCTTTGTTGTGTCGCTTACGCTTTCGTAAGGTCTTACTCTGTTTCTATGTGAACTTTTCTTTTGGTGTTAGAGCCATATATGACCTGGGGCCTTGATTGTTTTACCCTGTTTCTTTATGAACTTTTCTTTTGGTGTTAGATGTCATATATGGTCTTAAAAAAAGAAGAATGTGTGACCTTAGTCAGGCATACATTTTGCATTAGCTGAAATTTTCACCTTTATTGATATGGCCACACAATCTCAAAACTTGTTGAGCTTGAACATATGTGTATAAAGAAAAAATGAGGGAAGGAATAACGGCTTATGGTTAGCTGCTGGTGGTATACGCGGGTGCTCACCTTACTGCAAGAAGGCTACCTTTTGCTTCGTATGTAATAATTCTCGTCTTTGCTCTGCTGTTTCAGTACCTTTACCATGTTTTGACAAATATGAAGAGACCTCAAGGCAGAGGCTTTGAATTGGCAAAGAAACACATTGCTTCTTGCTTACAAGAGTTAGATTCCATGCTTAAAATGGAACATTTCCTGAGTCAGAGCAATTCACCAACAAATGATGCAATAGAAGATAAAACAACTGCCTCTGGTTGTGCACCTTTTGGATTTGATTCTACTTTAAACAGCAGGTTATCAGCTCCAGCTCCACCTCGCACAATTAAGATACTTAGCTGGAAAAAGGTGAATGTGAACAATATTATAAATCCGTGTTGATTTATTTTAATTCACTCATTGAAAAGAGGTTCGGCTTTTCCTTCCTTTATCAGGCAATTGATTACTTCAGAAAGCTTCTTCATGAGCTGGATTATATATGCTCCCACAATTTGGATCCGGTGTTTGAAAGTGCTTTGCACTTTGTAGTCGAGTTTCAGAAGCTGCAACCTGAATTAGTTTCTAGAGCTCATCTCCAGGTCTGCTGTTTATAATCCCCCGTGGAACAGTTGTGCCAGTTACAGTTATTTCTTCAATTCATCAAATTTATTCTAAAACCAATTTTATTCTAATATCAGCAGTTCACATGACTATTCAAAACTTCTGGGATATTTCTTGTGAAGGTTATCTTAGTTCGTAATATTTGTCTACAATAGTTTTTTCCTTCTAAATCAAGAAAGTTTTAGTATGTTACGCACTTGCGCAACTCTCTCGTAGTATGAGCGATATTTAGAATATTGTGACACTGTGACAGAACTAGAACAGTATTACTCAAATGAATTAACTTCTTTGTCCTTACAAATCTGACGTTCTCAAATGAATTAACAATGTCAGAATGTCCTACAATTCAATTATAAACTTGCCCAACCCAGGAGGCTTTAATTTTCTCAATGCTATTACTTGCTTTTATTCTAATAAGAGTTTATTTTATAGTCTAAGTGTGAGTAAAAGGTCTTCATCATGGTCATCATAATCATTACCCCAGTGCCGCAAAGGCTCCCACCTACGGTTGGGTAAAGGGAGGTCCGATGTACGCAGCCTTAACTTTGTACTAAAGCATAGAGAGACTGTTTCCGGACGATCCATAGTGAAAATCGTGTCGAAAATTGAATGGATTGACTGTTGCTTCATAACAAAGAAGCGCAAAGAGTTTAGTGAACCATTTTGCTTTATTCCATCATATTGCTAAGCCAAAAAATAGTGTGAGTAAAAGGTAACTCAAAATAAATCCATAAATGTTAATTTACGTCTAATATTTGGAAAATGCAAACCATAGCTAAGAATCAATGGTGATACAATATTCTATGTACTTCTCCAGAAACATTCGCCTTTTAATGGTTAATTAATATGGTCTTTACATTAGGGGTGGGCACGGTCCGGTCCAATATTTTACCGAACCCGTACCCGGACCGTTACTATTGAAACGGTTCAGTTCGGATTTAGACCTAAACCCGTTCGGTACGGTTCCAATTTCAAACGGTACGGTATCATGTCATTCCAATATCAAACAATGCCACTTTTTTCGATAAATTAAAGATTAATCATAATCCAAAAATCCACACAATTTATCAATTTTCATATTACATTTTTCATTTTCATTTTCATTTACCCGAGTGCCGCAAAGGCTCCCACCTATGGTGGGGTAAGGGGGGGTCGGATGTACGCAGTCTTACCCTTGTACTAAAGCACAGAGAGACTGTTTCCGGATGACCCATAGTGAAAATCGCGTCCAAATTGCATGGACTGACTGTTGCTTCATAACAAAGAAGCGCAGACAGTTCACTGAGTCATTTTGCTTTATTCCATCATATTCTCAAGCCAAAAAATAATGAATCTTTGGCTCCGTTGCAAATGATGGAAATTTTCATATTACATAATTAATAAATTTCAAATAAACTATAGTAATACAAACATATATCACAAAACGTTCACGACCACAACTCTTCAAGCACCATTGGCTTCTCACTCATACACATCGGGTCTCCTGGAAATACTTGCACAACAAAGTTTTAAAAAAGAACACATAAAATAAATTAAAGGTATTAACTATTTAACAAGTAAAGTGCCATCATACTTACTGTATGGCAAAAGATCTTCAATTTGCTTCTCACTTAAACTATAGTAGTACAAAAAGGAAACTGGAAGGAGTAATCAAATGGTATACATGTACAATAATTATAAATTATTAATTATATAAATCATAATTCGGTCCGGTTCGGTCCGGTACCGGTTCTCATTTTACTAGAACCGGTCATGGAATGGTTTGTAACTGGTACGGTCCGGGACAAAAATTTTGAGAACCATTTCAAACCCCGTTATTTGGTCCGGTACCATATCGGTCCGGTTCGGAACCATGCCAGTTTGGTATTTTTGCCCACCCCTACTTTACATGAATTGCTTGTTGGAATATTAAACTAAAAATATTATTTGATAATGTAGTTTATTTATGAAAATGATGAAACATATATTTTCTTATTATAGCCCCAAGGGATGTGGTTAGCACTCAACAAAATCCTTGATCAGTAATTCCAATCAATCCTAATTCATGTGATGCCTACACATGCCAGCAAACAGCACACAAGAATTCATGTTCTTGGGGTTGCAAGGCAAGACGATTCTTATTGTAGAGAGCTTATTTAATTATATCAGGATTATTATATAGTTCTTTAATTAGACCAGGACTTTGTTATTTGGACTCTGGATATTTTGCAATGAGGTACCAGTTACAATTTACTTGAACAAATAGTGACAGTAGAAAGATAAGGTAGTTTAGGGATCTCAGAAAGACCTAAGCGAAACTGCCTGTATAATCTTTGGGGAATGACATTGGCTCGATTAGATGATTTCTGGCGTGGGCAATCGTGTACCTGGCTACCCAAAAATTATAGCACATGAGGGGGAGTCTGTTTGGGTCATCCGGAAACAGTCTCTCTGTGCTTTAGTATAGGGGTGCTTTAGTATATGGGTAAGGCTGCGTACATCCGACCCCCCCAACCCCATCGTAGGTGGGAGCCGTTGCAGCACAGGGGTAATGATGATGATGATGATGATGATGATGATGGGGAGTTTGTGAACGAACTCACTGAGATGATGGCTCTATTGCTGAACTAAAACTGAAAGAAATCAGTCCAGCTGGGTATGGGCAGGGTTCCTAATAAACAATTCCATTGGAAGCTGCTCTCCGACATACATCAGCGCCTTCAGCACTAGTCATATGGTGTCCCAGGCGGTCGGGTGCCCTACCCTTGATTTAAAAGTGTTACTGTGGTGACTGATGAGACTTATCTCATCGAATTCCTAAGTCGAATCACTAACTAATCATGGGATTATATACAATAATAGATAACTGGCACATATGTAATAGTACCTCTATGAAATGTAAGGCCCAGTTTGGGGTGTTGTGAGTTGTCAGTTTTTTTATTTCACATAATTGTAAAAGTGACTCGATACCCGATGGGAATAGGGCTTCTAGTCAATCAAGTACCTTAGGCCAACATTCATATCTTTGCATTTGGCATAGGGGCGTCTAGAAGTCCAGAACGTTACCCAAAGGCGGCCACTGGGTTATTTGCAAAATTCGGCATTAGGGCAAACCTTCAATATTATATGATGATTGATAGAAAAGAGTGGAAGACAAGCATTTATGTCAATGACTCATTGATTATCTCTTGAGTCGTATCACCAACCAAATTCGTTTAGAATTAAGGCTCAGTCCCTAACATTTTGTAGGTCGGTATGAACTTAGCTTTTTATATTGTAAGATGTTCTTATCTCTTCTGATTTCACTTCCTATATATCTATTTGCTAAACAACGTTATTATTGTTATATACCATAACAATACTTTGGATTCATGTGATTCATGGTTGGGTGCCAATTATTAAGATTTAAGTTTTCATCTTAAAAGGTCAACTTGATAGGAAGAGTAACCCAAAACTTTAAATGTTGGTTTGTATCTTCATATGTGGGCAATGTGAGATGGCTTAACATGCCCCACATGATGGTGGCACATTGGAGCAAACAAATCTTAGTCTGTGTACTTATTGTTGTGTCTTAATTGGATCTGTTTCTTATTTAAGCTTAATTGACTTAGATACCATACTAAGATTTGGAATTCCATTTTAAAAGTTTAACCTGATAGGTGATATCATAGTTTTCAAAGGCGATAGAGGCTTAAGCCTCGAAGGTACTAAGAAGTCGCCTAGAAGGCTTAAGTCTCGATCAATCTAAACTGGGCTTACACCTCCAGTCTGCTGAGGCGTAAATGCGTGGACCGTGGTGCACAAAGGCACAAGGCGATGGCCAAAATTGGATAAAAACTGACCATAGTAGACCTTCTTCACGACTCTCCTTGCATGAAGCCTCCTTGGCGTTCTGCAACGACGATTAGGCGTGGTCACAATGATTAGGCAATTAAGAAGCCTGACTTCTGTATTGCTTTTCTGTCGCTAACTTGCTAAGTCTGACACGTGTTCTCTCTTTTTTGTCGCTATGCCTGAAAAGCTTTTCTCTTGTAATTTATCTTTTTTATATGTCAAGTAGTTGAATCCAGCTTGACTACTTTTTGATTCTTTACTTACGGTTTTATCACTACATAAACTAAATTAGTTCAAAATTAAACACTTTGTAACTTTCAAATATACACATAAAATATATTAATTCCAAATTTTACACTTTCTAAATTTCAATTTTTTTCTTACCATTTCATCTTTTTAACATCATTTCTGTTTTATCTTCAATGCTTCAAGTTATTATCCCCTTGAACTTTGAGGTTATATTTTCTATATTTACCTGTTGCTCAAGTTGTATGTAATAATCCGAGGCTTATGCCTCATGAGGCTAAGACTGATCGCCTTGAGGCCCAATAACATGTTAAGACTTGAGTACTCGTCTCTCTCATAAGAGGAGTAGCATAAACCTTTAATGTTAGTTTGTATTTTCATAGGTGTCTGGTGATTTAACACCAGTAGATTAAATAATGTGTTGTGGGGCTGTGTAAATGTGTAATCTTTTATTTTCATTTTATTTGGCTTCTCTTGCTACAAATTATGTAACAGCATTTGCTGATTCAAGATGGGAAGCTCTATGGACGTGATTCACTCTTTGCTGTGATCTGCAATGCAGCTTTATTGCCTTCAGCTGCTAAGGACCATACTATCCAAAACATTGAAACTTTCTCCCAACTTGGGCTGGTAAATATCTTATCCGGGATGCAAATCCTGAAACTTCCTTAGTAGATTATATTTTAAAATTGATCTGTTCATCTGTCTTGCAGTTATTGATCACTTTGCTAAGGGTTCTTTGTACGAATCTTGCTTGGCAAAGGCGTAAACTTGGGAAAACTTTGCAAGATTGGCGGATCATTTATGTACAGGTTGAGCACTTTATTAAGCAATGTACTAGTGCCTTGTCACATGTTAAATGTTCACCCCCTTTAGTTCTACATATGCACTAAATCTATGAGACAGTCATTCAATTGTTGATTCATTTTTCCCCTCCAGAAATATTTCTTTTAATTATTTGGCTATTATATTTTTCTGAAACTGAGGTTATTTTTTTTTTTTTTATGTTTTGTCTGAAGCTAAATTTCATTTACTTCATTGGCACAATCTTTTTTACAATGTATTCTTTTAATTTTTCTTACAGTTAGAACTGGCTTTCAGGAAGGAGTTCGGAGAAACTTGTAGTAATCTATATGATGAGGTAAATTCTGTACCAATTTATTAAGTTAGTTTTTCATAAAACTGTCATGGTGATTCTTTTATACCACTGTGGCAGTCTATATTTTGTAAAGCATGACATGGTTAGAGTCTTGGAGAAAAAGAAATATAACCAAAGCAAGTGTCAAAAGCAAGGTTGTTGACTTTTTAATTTTATTTCACATCAGTGTTGCTGTTCAGCAGTTGCTAAACGAATTGAGAGGTGGGGAGAGGAGGCAGGTAGGAGAGGGAGGGGAGACCTAGATAGACATGTATTAGAGTGGTGAAGAATGATATGGTACTTTTTGGGTTATTGTCATTCTAGCCAGAATATATGGGCTTTACACTTTTGTTTATTTCTTCATTCAACCAAACAAAGCCATAATAAAACAAATTTTAGTACGCGACAACCTCTATTCCTTATTAAACTTCTCTTTTGATGTGATGATTTTCATAAAAAATACTCCTTCCCAAAATGATTTGCAAAGTTAACTGTTCTTAGTCAACACAATTTCATTTTATTTACTATTTAACATATCAATTTTTTATTATATTCTAATTTTGGATTTTTGCAACTTTGTAGAACATCCAATGTAGTTTCTGAACATGCAAATTGTAACTATTAAAACTGACTTAACTATTAAAAACTGCAAATTACAAATCAATTTGGGATGGAGCTAGTATGTGATCGAATTTGTGCAGCGGGATAAATTATATTGATCCAATAAATCTTTCTTTGAAATGAAGACACAGTTTTGGACATACAAAATGATAAAGGGTGATGATAAAAAGAATAGAGTGAGTATTAGAGTATTGAATTGGAGGGTATGCGTATGGAGGATTGATCTGATTTTGTTTGTCTCCCTTTCTCTTTGTTCATTATTATTTACTCCCTCTGTCCCATTGGACTTTGCGAACTTTCCTTTTTTGTTTGTCCCAAAAACTTTGCCATTTTCTCCGTAAAGTAAATAATTTGTGGTTGTGCTTATTTCTATCTCCTTTGCATAACTCTCAACTACACAATTTTTATGTTTCTTATTTCACACCCAACACAAATATGGCAATGTCCAATGGGACATGTAATATTATTATTTATTATTATCGTTACTATTATTATTACTATAATATTATTATTATTATTTAACTTCAATGTCATATGTTGATTGATGTTAGCCGACCTCAAACTCTTTTAGGATTACGGCTTGAGCGTTGTTGTATCAGTGTTGCTGTTGAGAATGGTTGTAATGGCAGTTGTAGCCTGATTGAAGCGTTACTCTTTTTAACATTAATTTAAAACATTTTCTGGCTCGGATGATCTGGAACTAGAAGGGTCAAAGTAAAAAAATGAATGGACAGATAGATGAAGGATTCAATGCACTTTAAGATACTTTAACAGTCTCCCACTCTGCCACTCTAGTGCTCTACTATTCTACTGCTTGCTGCAGTATTTCCCAAGCCGCGTCCGCTTCACCTCCCGTCCTTGAGATGCATTACCTTCATTCGTTCTATTGCTTACTGCATCCTATCTTTTATGTTTGCTGCTCACAGTTGCACATAAGTGGATCTTCACTTTTTTTCTTGGTGCACACCAGCAACATAAAGCTTCTCATGATAATATTTATTGCTCCCAAAGCGTTTTAGTGATATGCTTCAGAAGCATATGATAGAAATTGATTGACGACTCAAAATTAGATCAAACAAGTCACAATTTCACAACTATGTTTGTTATCATGTTTAGAGTTGTTTTCGGGGCTATCTCAATTGGTGATATACTTGGAGTTGACCTTGACGGTGATGTCATTGCTGCATTGGAAGTAATGATATCGTTGACATTTAGGGATGTCAACAGGTAATGTACCCAGTCTTTTTATCAAAAAGCTGAACCCAAACCTGGTTTCATGGATAACTACTCGAACCATCCCAAACCTGTTATATAGTACACACCCACACTAACCCGTCTAACAACCTGTGGGAACCTGAACTTGATCCCGAACCCGTTGGTTTATTTATTAAAAAATAAATAGATCATTTAGTCAAATAGATGTGCAAAAGATCACGACAAATTCTGTATTTCTACCACCCCACTTGTGTATTAATGTTGTTGTTCTGCCGTTGTCCACAATTATTCAGATAAGAGAATGTCACGATGGTTAGCATCAGCTATCATACACGGCTAACGAATACATGTACAGAAAGAGAATACTACTTGAATTACATCTGCTCTGTTTTTGCGCTGTATAGAGTATTTGAGTTGTTCTGAATGACGCATCACAGCGCTCTCGCTATACTTCCCAGTTTTACTATTCCCCCTTTTATTATCACTTTATTTTCTAGGATACAGTACAAGAATTAAGCAGATTTTTTTTTGTTAGTTTATTTTTCCCATCACCCTTTCATAGATTTGGGAAGATAAAAAAGTTAATACATATTATACTATTGAAGTAAAACCTTATCTTTTCCATTAAATATATTTATACATCAAATTATAAAAATGCTATAAAAGAAAAAAATAGTGACGGTATGTATATATTTTTTACGTACTCCATCACTGTAATGCTTCCCAGCATTTTTTTTCTTCCAATACATGTGCTAAACACAATCATACAAATTGCTTTCTGAATGATTAGTTGGGAATCAGTGCTTTTATTTTTCTTTTCCGCAGAATATTTGTGCAAAAATATTCAAGTACATTCTTGTATGGATAGAAGAGCAGACATACTGGATAGCCTACCGTTTTCTTATATTGGGCTTTGATCTTGAGCTATATTCTACTAGTGAATACTGTATGGTGTATTGGTACATATATGTTATCTTGATCAAGCTTACAGAAAAAACCCACTTCAGATTGATGGCGGCAAGCAATGAAAATGGTAATTAAGCTGTTTGACTTTTTGTATTCTGTTTTTTTTTTTTATTTTTGTTTTTCTTAAAGCATGTGAATGTAGCTGTTAGCAGTGTAGGTCAATTTCCTTAGGACACATTTCTTGGGTAGTGGTGTAAAAAGGAGACAAATGTAATCAGAAGTAAGCATTTGTGTATCACTTTGGTAGAGTTTATTGTATTCGAGAATTTTCTTTGATGATTTGCCTGTTGGGTTAAACTGTGGCTAGAAATATTTTTTGTTTGCATGAGTAAAATCATAAGCGCATTTAGTATTTATTTCCCTTTAAAGAGGATACAAGAATTGTCAGGAGATAAATAAACATATCAATTTGAGATTGAACTTGCATTCCTACCCTGCCAGCCAAGTGAAGTTGTTAAACTTTTGGTACTTATAAAGGGTAGTCCGGTGCACATTGGCGCTCCTGCAGGGCGAGGGTCCAGGGAAGCGTCCCACCACAAAGGTGTATGAACAAGTCTTCCCTTGCCATTTTGACAAGAGGCCACTCCCAAGACTTGAACCCGGACTTGAACCCGTGACCTCTTTGTCACACCGTAACCGGTGTGCCAAGGTTCCCCTTCTAAAATTTCAGTACTTATAGAAGGAATAAAATGTGTGGACGATTGATCTCTTTTCTTGCTTTTCTCTCTCGTTTTCGTTTATCTTTTATCTTCTTTATCTTTCTATGTTCTTAATTTTTTTGGTTTCTATCTTTTATCTTTCTTATGTTCTTTTATCTTTTCATCTTTTATCTTTCTTATGTTCTTATGTTATTTTTAACTTTTATTTATCTTTATCTTATCCATTTTATCTTACCTTATCTTTTTATTTTTCTTATCTTTCTTCTCTTTTTACCCCTGATATCATGGATCAATTTAGGTTAGCCGACCCCAAAATCTTTTGGGAATAAGGCTTGGATGTTGTTGTATATAAGGAATAAAATATACCTCATGATAACACTTAATATTTCAGAACTGGAACACGCTGCCTAGTAGATTATAATTTCTGATATAAAGCTATATTCTTTTTAATTCTCTATTGACACGACATCTATGCGTTATCCCTTATGGACCAGTTAAGCGGAAAGGGAAGAAGCGAGATTTGATGAAGAATGGGGCAAGAGATTTTCCTCTTCCACCAGCAGTGCTGTTTCTCCAATGCAAGCTAAATATAGTTGAAGGTCTTACAATGGTAATAATAGTCATTTACTTTTCTCTCCACACTCCTTTAACAGAGATGGGGAGACCTAGAATGGGGGGGAGGGGGGTATCTCACTTAGACTGACTTGCCCTATAACTGATTGAATGATGCCTTGGTTTCTCAGATGCTTGCAGCTTTGAATAATGACTTGAAGATCTATCAAAATGTGGGACCTTTCAACACAGAACTTGAGGTATGCCGTATGCCATTACTCTATGCTATTCTTCATCTTTTCTCTTTTTGTTTTTGTTCTTGTTCTTTTCTTCTCAAGTTCAATTCATTTAGACTTAAGCCCACCATGAGGGTCCATTCAAGCAAATTTCATACGGAGTATGGTACTTTGATAGGAATTTTAAAATTACTTATTCTAGAAAGAAGAATCAGGGAAACGTGGCAGCATAGTCTTATGGCTAGTGGTTACTACTCCCTCCGTCCCGTTTATATTGTCCCATTTTACCATTTCTGGGTGTCCCGTTTATATTGTCCCATTCTATTTAAGGAAAGGTAAAATAAATGTAATGACAAAATTGTCCCTGTTTTAATTTCAAAATTACTTAAAAACCGTCCTTATCTGTATCTATTCTGACAAACCGACACAGTACTCCATTATCGTTCAAATCAGCCTGCGAAACCCCAGCCACCTCTCTCTCTTCCATAACCCACCTTCTCGACATCTCCCTCATCTCCCCAAACCGACCAGCAAAATCTCCTGCACCCACTATCTGCATCTCCCCATAACCAACCTTCCACATCTTCAAAAACTTCCAGGAGCATCGACATCTCCTCAAATCTCCCTAAATCTGCCAGATCTGTGATTCCTCCAAACCTCTGGACTTGGAAGGCCTGATTGTTGAAGATAGTGAAGATAGGGTTGATTTTGTGCCTGATACCGAAGAGCCTGATGTCAATTCCCTATGAAGATTCTTCATCAATTGTCGAAGTTGAAGCTCCGAAGGCAGTGTTCGTTCCTCCCATTTGGACGGAAAGTGGGACAGGGCATTAGTACGTACTGGATGGCTTTTTAAAAAAGTCAGGCATGAACAGTTCATTTAGAATAACCAATCTCCTACTTTTTGAACCTATCTTAATATGCGTGCCGCTCCCTTGCGTCCCAATATAAATGGGACGGAGGGAGTATTATTTATTATATTCTTATCTGTTAAGCTGTTATCTATCAGTTGAGAAATAACTGGATCTTCCCACTACTACGTAGGAGTTGATTAGTAGTGCTCAACTATTTCCCTATTTTTCCTCCATGTAATCTCTTTAAATAGGCTATTCGCATCATGAATAAAGCATCAACATTTCAAATTTCAAATATAACATTATTCTCTGGAGATTCTCCTTTGGTCTTTCTTTAAGTGAGATTCTTGCCTTACTGATAGAAGATTTGTTACACTCAATTTCCTTTTCGTTTACATAATTTCTGGGTTCTATCATACTTCAACAATTTGAGGCACTCGTCTATACATAACTATAATAAATCTCACTTGTTTACCAATTTCACTCCCCCCCTGCGTGTGCAGAGATTTATGCAGCATTTTGAGCTCCTACAGAAAGCATGCATCCCTGATCATGTATCTTATTTTTCTTTCAAGGCAGCAACAGCTCATGCTCGTATATCTGTGAGTGTTTTTTGCCCTATAAATATTGGATTTCTTCCAAGATTTAATTTGTAGCTTTACCCGTCCATCTTATCATTTTATAGAGTGTAGCCATGTACAATATCTTCAAAGACGCTCAAACAATCTCAAAGGAACTGAGAAGCAGCTTTTCTAGCAACCCTATCAAGATGGCAGAAATTAAAGGCATAGAACAGGTAGCAGAACACAATGCCGTCGCTATGAATCTTATCAGCCGATTAGGCACTCTCGACTCATCACTCAAGGTTTACTTCGAATTCAGCCACCATCCTTACTTTGCTACTGCCATTGTGAAGAGATCTTGAAACTTATCTCCCAATTTTTTTCCCCATAGTAACCCTTCTCACACCCCCTTGCTAGAACAGGGTATTAGAGAGAAAGTTTTCCAGTAGATGGTGTAGTAGCTACTAGCTAGCATTCCCCAGTTTTTTGTTATTTGAAATGTCAAATTCCACCATTTCTCCATTCACTTTCAATATTTTTTTCTCAATAAATGTACTGAACGATATACTTTATATGCCTCAAGGAAAGATATTCTTTAACTTGTAGTGTGCAAGATAGAATGTTCAGGATACTGTAACATAGATTGGGTAACTTAATGATTCACAATGATTTTGTAAAGCTTGAAACTGTCGTTGAAAGAATTTATTTATTGCTGTCCTTTTATAGATTCTTGAAACACATTGTATAATTTTTATACTTTCTCTGTCTACCTGAGGAGGCAAATGTTATGATTTCTTGTATTGAGAATTATGAAGCTGTTGTGCGAATAGTATGTGTTTTGTTTGTGTAACAAATTTGTTCGTCAACCTTTGTTTGTTAAAACTTAAAAGTAATTTATGCATGCAAATGAAATCAATCAACTATTACAAATGTTGGCTTTATGAATGTTTATGCATTTAATTTAAGTAGCAACGATGGGACTTGGGAGTAGTTATACCGCCATCGCGTGACATTACCATCTACAAGACTACAATGCATGGAAACTTTATCGGGTGTCAATGTGTCATCAGCATGCGCAATATTGTGGGCCTTGTGGCGGTGTGGTTGTATATGTCATTTTATATGGTCTCATATTCATAAGAAAGTTTTATTCCTTAAATAAGAGTAATTACAATCATTATCATCATTACCCCAGTGTCGCAAAGGTTCCCACCTATGGTGGGGTAAGGGGGGTCGGATGTACGTAGTCTTACTCCTGTATTAAAGCACAAAAAGATTGTTTCCGGGTGACCCATGGTGAAAATTGCTTTGAGAATTGCATGGACTGATCGTTGCTTCATAACAAAGAAGCGCAACAAGTTTAGTGAGCCATTTTTCTTTATTCCATCATATTCTCAAGCCAAAAAATAAGAGTAATTACCACCAAAATTGGAAAATACTATCATGTTTTAAGTCTACTTTTGCCAAAACATGACAATAATTACTCCTATTTAGGGTCTGTTTGCAACAGCTTCTGCTTTAAAAAGGTGTTTTTTTAAATGAAATGAGGAGAAGTGATTAAATAAAAGTTGATAGTGTTTGAGAAAAAAGTGATTTTTAAAAGTAAAAGTCGGTAGTGTTTGGTAAAATAAGTTCTTTTTTGTGTAATAGAAAAATTAAAAGCACTTTTAACACGAAAGCCGAGAAAAATAAAAGTTGGTAGTGTTTGGTAAAATAAGTGTTTTTTAAGCCAAAAGCTGAGAAGTGCTTTTTTTAAAGCATTTGCAAACCAACCCTTAGGGAATAAAAACATGAGTCCTATTTTGAAATACACAAACTGGTGTAGTCATATTTAGGATAATTCTCTAAACTTTTGAAGCATACTAGGACTCGAATCCCATGCTATTGGTAGTTTACTCTTCATTATGTACTCTCTTTATCTCTAAATAGTTTTCTGGTTTGTTTTCTAGGGTTTCCAAGAAAACTTTCACATTTCATATTTTGAGAAAAATATGTGTGTGATTCATAGCAATATAGCATTTACATTATTTTATTCAAATTATCACACGTTTGCTTTTTAATTACTTTATTAATAAGTGTGTAAGCTCAAACAAGATAATAAATTTTCGTCGGAGGGAGTATCATTTTATTAATAAGTGTGCAAATTCAAATTTGTGTTGTTTATACAGTTATACCTATAGATCATCATTTTCTTATACTCCCTCCGTCTCTAAAAGAACTTCCAACTTTCCCTTTTTGTCCGTTTAAAAAAGAACTTCACTTTCCCTTTTTGGTAAAGAATTTGTGTTCACAACAATTCTTACTCATTCTGACACATTTCTCTCTCCTCTGCACAACTTTCCATCACACAACACCTACTTTCTTAATCGTGCGTTGTTTGTACTATGGAAGAACTTTTAGGGACAGAGGGAGTAATAGACAAGAACTCACCGATAGTCCGCTCCTCTACTTGAAGATGCACAATGTGCATATCCCTGTCTTGTTGGCATAGCTACTACTACAATATACACATTTTGCAATTCCCTTTTTTGTGACCCTATCAATAAAGAATCACAGTGAACAAACTAGTTTAAGTTGTCATAGTTGATTCATGAACATGATAGTTGTGTGCTACTTTAGCGATTGCACCATTTTGTTTTATACCCTGGGGGGTCACGGAGAGGGGCCTGTGGTAAACGGGGTTGAAACTGTCTCCATGAAATTTTGAACCCAAAACCTTACAAATGAGAGAGTGAGTCGTCGAATAGTGGAGCTGGACCGCTTCCTCCTTCAGGTATTACACCAATTTATGAAGGCCCTTAGGTGTGTATATATACTGTCATACTCCTTCCATTTCCAAAAGAAAGTCACAGTTTGACTTCACAATTATTAAGGAAATAATTTGACTTTACTGTAGAGTACACTGTTTAGACACTGTTTGACACTGTTTTGATGTAGATTTCTTTGCCAAATAAGGAAATAAGGGAAGTGTGACTATGTTTTTGAAACATCCAAAAAAGGAAAGTGTGACTTTGATTGCGAAACATAGGGAGTATTATTTTAAGCGATGATGAATTTTATGACCATCCATGTATGAATATAATACTCTATAATGGTAGGATTGGGAATCTAGGATTGGGAAATAAATATGGGTCTAACTGTTGGTTAAAACATTAAACATTAACCTCAAGGTTGGGAAATGAGGCATGATGAGGGATTTGATAGAGAAATCATAACTGGATTCTCTGAAGTGTCAGAAGACCAGACCAAAAGAGTGATCCTCTAAGAGAGAAATTCTAGTGTGAGACTTTGCATAGTGTTAGTTTTTTGCATTTGAGTGAGTTGGATTAATATTGTTATTCTTTTTATTAACCGGAGAGTTTTCTTATCCTAAGAAGTTGTCTCATGAGTTTTATCAGAATAAACATATCGTATGTTTTTTTTTTAATTCTCAAAAATAAAACTATGAGAATACAATGAAATTTGTAGCTTTCAACCTTTCATCAAGAAGGTCATGTTAACATTCTTTTGGTTAGTATGAACCTCACAAACCGCGTGCCATACACGTCGCCCGCATTGAAGAAAAGCAACATTGGCACTGCATCAACGTCGCCACAAATGGCTGAGTCAGTGACGATCAACATTTCGCCGGCATCGCTGCAACACTATCACCACCTAATAATGGTAGGCAACTAAAAATCAATTTTACTGTAAAATCAAAGTTCCATACACAAAAAAGTCCGCTGAAGTCATAAAATCATAACTCGTAACCGTATTATAATATACCGGATGACAGTTTTTATATATAAGCGCCTCACGTGTAATTTTTGAAAGCCTTTATTTCTTAAGTGCCGCTAATGTTGTGCCACAGTTCAACACTTTTCAACTAGTGTTCGTACAAAAAATACAGAAACCAATATCTTCTATTATCACGATTATTTCTTATTTTCTTTCAATTCCCAATATTAATGAAGACGAGAAGAGCTGCAAAAATGCTAAATAAGTGGGGAAAGTGGAAGAGACTTAAGAGAGGCCAAAGTCTGCCTTCTTAGTTGTTAATAATGTCATATAAAACCCAAGAATGACACAACTTATAAATTATAATAGTATATGAATGATCCCGTAAGAACTAAGAAGTACTACCTCACATAAGTTGACGTTTGGCCGCCTCCATTTGAAGTTTTTAAAATTTTTGATGAAATTTTGTGAACATGTCTTAATGAAGTGTAGATTATGTCCACCAAGTTTCACCTTAAAATTTAATTGGTAAGTTAGATAAAAAGTATTGAAAAATGCTACGCCAAAGTATATATAAAAATAAATTTTCTGACAATTGATCATAAAGAGACCGGGTTTGTTGATCATTATATCAATTTAAAAATTTTCAATTAATAAAATAAATTTGGATGCTTAGACCTTATTTATTCTTATTTATATAATTGTTTTGTATCATATTATATACATGAAATTACTCATGATAAGACTAAAATATAACATTTTTCACAAAATAGGATCATACGTTTGATTTTCCTTAAATAAGACTAAATATTACTACGTACATTTATAGTCCCTAATTTAATTAACTTATATGATTAATTGCCCGTTATTTCCCTTGTCTAACCAAGGTCAGTCAGGTAGTGGCGGAGAAGTTCAATGAGATTGTGACTGATCAGCGGCAACGATCAGAAGCAAATCCAAACAATAGGTAATGACCATTCACCCTAGGAACTTTAAAAAAATCTATGAATGATTTTATGCAAATCAACATACCTCATCATATATAAACAGTTTATAAATGTAAAAGTGTATGGACTTTTTTTAAAGTTAATGGATTAAAAAATCCACCAGCATTCATATACATAGTTCAATTACAATATTCTCTGTACATGCATTTCTTAAATACTAGTACTTCATAGATATCAAATCAGCAAATGAGAGAACACGCTGTACATATATATATTTATTTAAAATATGCAATAAAAAATGAAAAAGAAAATGACGCCGACGGCCAACCAAAATGAACTCATTGTTGCGCACTTTTCTTCTGTATACAGACCACCAGAAACGACTCCCTTCTCTCCCTTTTAAACATCTCCTTTTTCTGTTCTCTTCGCTTCATCTTTCTTTTTTCTGAAACATTCTTCAGCTTGAGGTCAGGTCAGATTCTCTTTCTCTGATCTCTTTCCCCCCTTTGTGTAAATCAAGCATTAATCTTTCGTGATTTTCCGACTGCTGGGTAGCTGAAATATGAGGCATAGATGTTGAAGATTGAGTCTTGGCTCATTGGGTCTCTGTGACTGTCATTTTTGTGCTATTTCAATTTTATCTTACTGTGATTATTATATTGCTTTTATCTATGCCTACTTTTTTCTATTGTTCCTCTCTTTAATTGTTCGTGGACATTAAGATCAGTCTCTCAGTCTGTCTGTGTTTATTATGTTCATTGAAATTCTGAACTTTATAAATTAAAATTGTAGATCGAGAAAATATTCGTTAATATGTGATGATCTCCGATTCTCCATGCAGCTTGAGTGTGTTCTGGTTTACATAGTGGCGGTCATTAGGTGAATATTAAAATATTTGTCTAATTGGGCAGCTCAATTGAATGGACTCGGATCAAATGAAATGGTTGGCATTAGAATTTCTATGCGAGTTGCAAACCAGCTAGGAACTAGATCAGGTCAAACTTCTGCAGTTGTGTGCTATTTCTTTCTTTTTGGTTTTGAAGTACCTGGATTATTGATTATTCCAATGAGAAATTGATACATCTATGTTTTTAAATATATACATTGTTGAAAAGTAATCTTTTTTAATTACTTTAATGTTTATATTTTGGGCATTGTTTAAT